CATTCTGCAGAGAATGGGGGCTCACGGTGAACACCAAGAAAACCGCCATCATGATTTTTAATAAAAGTGGAAGGCAACTCAAAGAGAGTTACGGTTTTCAGTACATGGGAGCAACAATCCCATCAGCAAAAACATATTGCTATTTAGGGATCACCTTCTCACTGTCGGGCAGCTTTAAGACAGCACTAAACCTTCTGCGACAAAAAGCTCTCCGGGCATACTTTGGACTGAAAAGTGAAGTCGACCTTAACAATATATCCAAGGTCGCAGTTCTTAAACTGCTCGACTCCCTCATACTGCCAGTTGTATCGTACGGAGTGGAAGTCTGGATCAGCAGTAGCTCAGGAATTAAGGCTTTTGCCAGCACAACTGACAATACGAAGCAATCCCCACTGGCAGGCATTGCAGCTGACCCATTCGAAAGAATGCACCTCGCCATCCTTAAATGGACCCTTGGAGTTGGCAAATCGACATCTAACGCAGCTGTTTGGGGAGACTGCGGAAGAACCCCTATTGTAGTTCGATATGTTAAACAAGTCACCGATTTCCATAATCGCCTTGCAAGACTTGAACTAGAAGACTCACCAGCTCTAGCCAGGCACGCTTTTGCTGAGCAGAAGAAACTTGATTTAGGTTGGTTCAGAGCACTGGAATCAATGCTAACGATACTCGACGAGAACAAACTTGAACATCAACTATACAACCCATTGTTATGTCAGGAAAGGGCACATAACCGATTTATCAATCTATGGGAAACAGAAAGACAAAGCAATAAGAAGCTTACGTTCTATAATAAAGTTAAAGGTGCTTTCGAGCAGGAGCCGTACCTCACGCTACCGTCGAGAACTGGAAGCAACTTAGTGGCTAGGATCCGAATGAGCGGACATAAGCTAAACGTAGAAACTGGAAGATATGGGAGCAGAACTGGAAGTCAACATCACAGAATTTGTGAATTCTGCAGCGAAAAGTCAATGATGGAGCTCTTTGTTAATCTTCCTTGTGTTGATCCGATAATAGAAGATGAAGAACACTTCCTTAGAACATGTCCCAGGTACCATTCCAGTAGGACTAACATGAAGGAGCCCACAAAGTCATTACTATTTCATGACATGAAGAGCCTCTTTCTACCGGAGCACATAGTGGAATTCACCAAGTTCGTCGCTCAGCTATGCAGAACACGATTCCCTATAAAGAAGAAACACGAACATTAGTGTCTCAGTACGGGATATCACATTTCCTCCACAGCCCCTTCATTTTCACTTTTTCTTTACACTCATCAATCATCTTAATGGTAACGGATTTTCTATTTGGATTTCGGACTTTGACCTTTAGCTATGCTGATCTGACATTATCTCACTGTAATATAGATCTATTTTTTGTAAACCTTGTAAACCTTGTAAACCTTGTAAACCTTGTAAACCTACACCTCATTGCTCATTTTTTATAAAAAAGAAAAGCCTTTTGGCCGCCGCGCACAAAACGAGGTATACAACTTAACCATTGTTAATGGTCTGGCCCAGCGCGCGCTACTTCGTAACACTTGCATTGCCATCGGGCAACATTTCGAGACGAAAGTGGCGCGCGCTACTTCGAAGAAATTTAGACGAGTCACATCCGTCAATATTGAATATACAACACGCTCGACGTGTGTGTTAATTGACGATGTTGGATGTCAATTCATCTCAGCTCGGTGCGGCATAGTAGCGCATCTCGCCGTGAGAAGCCTCATTGAGTGCGCGGTGCGGCACAGTAACGCATCGCGCTACAATTAACGTTGTATAACGTTGCGACCCCCACGGTCGTTTCACTATAGTATCGTCCTGACGATACAGGGGAGCCGCGCACTTCGTGCGCGGCGGGTCATACAACGTATGACAACTACAACGTTTAATTGACGATGGCAATTCATGGCAGCTCGGCGCGGCACAGTAGCGCATCTCGCGCTACAACTACAACGTGTGTCAAATGATTAATTACCTAGCTTTCGCTTGCTAATTTATTACTTGTTGCTTGATTGACGATGTCAACCCATCGAGATCGTTGCTTTGCGAGGCAAAGCAACGATCGACGATGCGAAGCAAGAATGCTAGTTTGCGCGGCGCGTCGAAGCGGCGAAGTCCTCCAAACTTGTTGCTTCATGCTTGCTTTTTTATTCAAAAAACCACGGTGCACGGATAGTTTTAAATTTAAGTTGTTGTATAACTATAAACAATTTAATCCTGTTTTTAATGCACGGCTTTGCGACGGCCAGTTATTGACTTATACATAAAATTGAACTTTAAATAGAAATGCGGATATATTGAAATTTAAAACTTTCAAAACAGAGGCTTATAAATATTATTATATTATGATTGTAAAATAAAGGATCAAATTTTAAATTTGTTTCACTAAAATTTGTTTCACTTTTATCTCAAGTATAGCAAATACCTTAACGGGTGATACTCGTTATTCCATTGTATCACGTGGTGACCCCCACGGTCGCTTCACTATAGTAGAGTTTCGACGATACAGGGGGAGCCGCGCACTCGTGCGCGGCGGGTCATACAACGTATGACAATTATTCCATACTCGGCGCGCGTCCTGGTAGGATTTAAACCTACAAGGATCTGCTCATCCAAACAAACCCGCTCCATAATCGTCCAAACCAATAATAGTTCAGTAAAACTTCGATAAGATCACCACTTATTATATTTGCCACGTATTATATTCGCTGCTCTGCCAGTGTTGTCAAATTGAGGATTTCCAGTCGACGGCTGTATGGGAGAGTACCCACCTCTGGGCGCTCTCCGGCTCCAAAATGATCCCCCAACTTCCACGAGCCGCAACTGGATTACATAATTGAACACAATGCTCTAGATATTGTGGTCTTATTAAAGATTTGTATACAATGGCTCTCATCACATATTTTCTCTAATAATAAAATTTTTGAAAATCCAAATCCTGTAATCTGTTCATTCCAAGCAAGGGGTTGTGGCTAAAAGCTTGAATGAGACCAGTGAGATTATGTTGGGCCAATTTAGAGGTTGGGCGATGTCAACATTTTTTTGAAGAAATGCATACAAAAAGGGATAACCTGGGAAAATTTTAGAAAAAGGTTTTCGAATGAATTCTAGCCTTGATGCTAAATTTTACTGCAAAATTGCGACTGTCGTGCAAAAAGTTATATAAGCTGGTTCTGGTGTTAACTTCCAAGAGGCACTTTCTTGATACACGTTGCATATCTCTTTTGTGCACGCAAGCAGGCCAGCTTCAAGTGGATCAAGCACATTCCACTAAGCACTCTGAACAACCAGTTTAACTTAATTTGAAAATTCTATAATCAATGTCCAATCAAGAGGGAAGATATTTCCCCCTCTGAAATTTAGGGGGATTGATAAAAGTAGCCCTACCAAAAGTGGCCCTACTGCTTTTGACCCCTTCCTACACGCCTGCAAAATTAGACTGCCTAAACAAGCTTGTGGTTGAGGTGCTAAACTACTTTTTCTTAGTGACCAAGATTTAAGGGGACATTCACTAAAACCCTTTTTGGTTGGACCCTCGATTTGACTTCATATTATGAAATTATAGATTAAAACAATAAGATTTGATACTGTGTTACAATGTGACCACAACCCAAGTTATTGGCATTATATGCAGTACCAGCCTCCGGGAACCCCATGTACATCCATTCCCCATCGAATCAGGCACACATACATATTGTGTAAATATTGAAGCTCTATTGACTAGAACCATTCAAACTATAATTTACGTTCAGTTGATAACAGCTGCCCCATAGCTTCAAGATATTGACCTAAACGTGATTTCAACTTGATACATTTTATTGTGAGTGGACAGGCACATTGTCTATTGAACGATGTATTGAGTTATCGACTGTCATTTAATTTATTTGATTTTTTATGTGCTCTCGGGGGCAGGGGGTCTTCATGAAAATTGTCTCGAAGCCAAAGTTATTGCTAGGTGGCAAGGTGGCTAGGGGCTAGGTGGCCTAGTGGTTAGAGCATCCGCCTTCTGCGCAGAAGGTTCAGGGTTTGAATCCCAGTGTCACCTAGTCTAGGGAGTAGCTAAGGATCCATTGGATCTATGTGATCTCCTCGGTCGACTCAGCCGAATGATAGGAAACTTAATTGAGGGTTAAATGAGGAGGGGTACCTGTTAAAAGTTTAAGAAACTTCCTAGGATACCCCTTCAGTGCTGTAAACATAGTACTATTAACTATTAAGGGGGCCGGGGGGGGGGGTCTTCATCAAAATTATCTCGAAATCAACTTTATAGTTGTTTCTGATAGAGGGGAGTGATATCTATCAGATGCTTTTGATCCCATGGAAAATATTGTTCCTAGCCGAAATTATCGCCGGTCTAAGGTCAGCGCTTATGTGTAATTGTATTGCGCGAGCGATTTTCAATCGCAAATTCTGAAAATCGAGTATAAAAATCTATCTTCTCCCACATTTTTTGAGCAATCACCCCGAAACTTTCAGGATATGTTCTAGGGACCATTTAGAAGAGAATGATCATACAAAATTTTGAGATAGGCCTTTAAAAATCTTTTATTCAATTTTGAAAATCTTGGACCTCGTTTTTTTACGATTTTTTGATGTGAGAGAAGATAGATTTTTAGACTCGATTTTCAGAATTTGCGATTGAAAATCGCTCGCGCAATACAATTACACATAAGCGCTGACCTTAGACCGGCGATAATTTCGGCTAGGAACAATATTTTTCCATGGGACCAAAAGCATCTGATAGATATCACTCCCCTCTATCAGAAACAACTATAAAGTTGATTTCGAGAGAATTTTGATGAAGACCCCCCCCCCCGGCCCCCTTAACTATTACTATTGCTGGTCAATTTTACCCCCGTACCCTTAAGAATTATAATAAGTTTGAATATTTTGGAATCAGCTCAGATAAGGGCCTCACTGAAAAGTTTGAATTAAAACAAATCCTTGATTATAGTAACTCTAAACTGGTATTATGCTTAACCCAATACCCATCATTACATCAGACAAATATGAAGATTGTATGGGATGGACAAAAAAGAGACTCGAAAAAACCAGCATCCTTTTCCTTGTAGATTACTTCCGCTCCAAAATTTAAAACAAGATGTCAAGTTCTGTTCATTGGCTGAATTGAAGACTTGTATTGATTCTGCTCAACTCAACTCTCTTCAAAAGGAAAGTAAAGATTCCATTCTGAAATTACTAGAAGGAGATATTAGGTCATCTGACATTGACAGCAAATGTCTGTCTTTGTGGAAGAATGGTAGGAAAAAACCACCAAGTGTACCATGGGAGACTTGCAAACTAAAAAACAAGGTAGGATATCCTGTACTGGCCATTACTGCTATATTGGTACATTAAATGTTTCTACTGTAAGTTCATTTTGTGCACTATCGAGTGTAGAGTGTATGATAAATTTAAAGACCAGTATTAAATGAAGATATTTGATGATAATCATTAATTGTTTGTCGGCTGCAGATTGCAGATCTGCACAATGAGAAATTGTCAATTGTTTTCATGTTCATCAAGTTATGTTATCATAATATTAGTTTCGAACGCATTATATATTAAGTGCTTGTTTGTTAGTTCATGCTTTTAAAATTTCATGATAAAACATTGAACTTTGCAGGGAAAAGTGTCAGAGAAAAAGAATAGCCCACCTCAGGAGGCAGCAGGCAGTTTTAAACGAACTGCAACACTAAAAGTGCCAAATGATGTAGGCAAAATAATATCTAACATACCAGTAAAACCACCGGCTATAACTGCCATCAAGGCAAAGCCCAAAGGAGCCAAATATTTTAAACAACCGTCACACCAACACCAACTTTCTGACCACAGTTTCCTATCACAAGGTAATACCTGGTTTATTCTTTTTATCAACTCCTAGAATTACAGAATACAGATTTATAGGTCAGATCCGTTCTTCTGGCTTACCTCGTCCCTATTTGCTAGTACAGTGGTTTAGAGACAATCCATGTTTAATATTTATCACAAAATCACACATTTATCTCTTCCCTATTTCATCCGCTCCACCTCTGTAACTGACATTTAGCTGTTTGTTGGAATCTTATGGCTATCAGATGAACAATTAAAACCCGTCCCCTGTTTCGGTGCTTCTGAAGTACAGAGTTGCCAAACCATCCACCCAATCGTGATAATTTCACAAACCCACTGATTAACAATAACATCCTTCAGCGGATACAGTGGTGACTGCAACAACTTCAACCTCACTTCCTTATGATGAGGTTTGTTTTTATCAGATTTTGCGAATATAAATTATTTTCTTACCAACAGAAGACTTAGTTTGCATGTTAAATTAGTCGACACTCAGCTCATCAGTTGGTAGATCAGTCTAACTTCACTCCGATTCCCACGTTACGCATTCCTTTTCGGTATAACATGGGCGCTATATTCAACAGAGTTTAACACGTGCAACCGATCTTATTACCACCTCTTACGAAACTTAATGAATTTCAATCTTACACAGGTTCCATGCAGTCGCTCCAATGATAGTTTAACAAATCCATAACAAGCATACTTTGGTTACATTGATATCTATTTTTTCAAATCCTCTAGTATCAACGATTTTTGTTGTTTTAAAGAATATGATAATAGCAAAAGCTTCACATTTATTCGCTGCACAAACGCCCACAAGATCCCTCTTGTTAAGGTGTTAGTGCATGCACGATATAATTATCTGCAGAACTGCTGATAACAGCGGTTTTATCAGTTCTATACGTAATTTTCTTTTTTTCTTCTTCTTTGTCAGTATGTAAGTATGTTCTTTCTTCAGGACTACGCTGAAAGCACTCTTCCATCCGAATTAGACGACTACCAAACTTGCTCGGAGTTTGACTTTAAAGACGACAACAGTAAGTTTATTGTGGATGATTGTTGTGTTTTCCTAATTTTTGTATTATCGTGTTCTTAATCTGAAGAAACGTTAACATACCACGTTCTAAACTATTGCATACTAGCTGAAAGTCCGTCTGACACGTTCACTGACGAGCATACAGAGACCACGAGCATTGAAGAGTCGGGGAAGCTTGAAAAATCTGAAAGTGAGCCTTAAGCCTATATGAATTCTCATGATACCCTGGCCCTCATGGCACCTACCTTATTCTCGGTGTTGGCCTTGAACTGGCATTTAAATGACTCTTTACAGCATTGAACATTTGATTATTAAATCACTTTAGCCGCTTGTCTTTATGGCTAACATGTTCATAGTATCAAATAGTAATTTGTAAAAAACCAAACCTTTTCAATATCATAAAATGTCACATAAATCTGAAGATTTTCATGATTAATATCCTAAATATCTGACCAGCAGTGGAGGGTTTCCATTGCATCCGAGAAAGTAGCCAACATTATAATTTATCTGAATCAATAAACCCTCTGAGAACGTTCAACTGCCACAAGTCAAATTTCAATCGAAGGTGACAATTGAACCATGACGGAAGTACACACACAATCACATATTAAGTAGACACACTTGAGAACACGTCTACTAAACACGTAGGCTGGGTCACTCAGCCGGTTATAAAGTTAGGATCATGCTCTACATCTTCCAACCTCACTTATCAATAACAAGTGCTTGACAAGACCGTATCAAGACAGAGAGTGCACATGATAGTAGATAGTTTTTAATTAGATTAAACTTGTTTACTAATGTTTACTTATCGAGTGGTGACGTATCATGAGACTTTTATATCTTAAAAGAATGTTCGTGATTCATGTCTCCGGCAAACCATGATGTTTTGATGTGAAGTGGCGTTCTGGCGACAGCAAGCGATCAATGGGCACTGCAGAAATCCAATACAGCTTATGCTTGTCAAGCCGTATATTGTTACTACAACATTACAACTGGAAATTTACTCTATTTAAAATCTAAAATGTCTATTATCAATATGCTATCAAGCCGTCTCAGTTTCGATTTTTTAGTGTGCAAACACTGTGCAGTATATAATGTTCGTTAAGTTTGTTTGCTTCGTGATAATCTCTGTGATTCTTCCATTTCAGGATCACTTCTTCTTTACAGCTGTTTGTGAATTCTTTGCTTGTCCGAAGAGGATTAGATTTTAAGCGGTGGTTTCTAAGATCAAACTGCCTTGCGGCTCCGTTTTAATCTATTGTAATGTACTTCAAACCAATTTAACTACAATGATCCATAGTTAAAGTTATGCATGTCTTCTTATGAAACTTTTCATTGTTATTTCATGCAAGCCAAAAATGTTCCATTTTTGATTACCTCTCATGCAGCTCATACTGAAGCCTTGTCCTCGATTCATTTTCTCTCCTGTGCTCATAGTTTCACGGTAATTGTATTTATAATGCGATTTCTCATCAAATTTATGATATCCTATTCGTCTCCCTAACTACCCTTCATGCTACCTCGTTTGGGCTATGAGTTTACTAGCATGCTCTCTGATCCCAACTTGGCTCGATTGCTCCGGACTGTTGTGTATTTCACATAATATTTCTTCATCGCTATCAACTTTCAACCTTCACTATTGAATAATGGTTTTACTTTAAAACGCTATATCGCACAAATTGAGCTCCTGCACAGGTGCCCGTTGCTAGGGCCGATGTTGCCATGTTTAATGCAGTTCATAGTTTCGTGTTACCGAAAGATACGATTGATCGCCCTTTCTTCACGATTTTAGTTTTAAGTAGTTTTGTTTGATTTAAAACACCTGTTGATGTTGAAGTACCGAGTTCACTACCGAATGAACGGATGATTTAATCTAATACATTATGATTGTTGAACTGAGTTCCCGCAATATTGACATCTTATCATGGATAAGATAATTATTCAATAATCAATTGGCATATGTTTTGGCACTTGACACAAGTATTATTTGTGAATTGAGATCAGATTAATTAAGTGATGTCACGTGTCAGAAAGGTCCGTTATTTTCTTATCATCAATGAAAGTAGCTCAGAACTTTTCAAAATTAATTACAGAATGGTACAATGTCCTCATGTTTTAAATCGTAATTTGAGCATAGCCTTGTTTTTTAACGGTTTTGTTGATCATTCTATTGAACTGTTTATCATTTATGTCGGAACAGCTTGACAAAATCACCGTAAAAATATGATTTCTCTCTTTATTCTAATGCAAGGAATTAATATGATAATATATATTAAATATATCAACTCTTAAATTCCATTGAATGGTGCAAATTTGTCACGTTAAATCTTCTCTCCTCCCTCCAAAACGCTTACCCGCAGTCATATCGCGCTCATTTACTCCTCTGTTTTAAACACAATACTTCGTATCGAGTCTGGGAAGGCAGTATTATTGCACGTAGCACGCTGCATAGCACAGAGTGACTTGATCCCCCACCACTCAGCGAGCTGCCCTCACTCGTCAGACTGTTTAACACCGCCACCTCCTCCTCAGCAAGCATCCACTTTCAAATATCTGTGATTGTGATACGTTTGTTAGAAGTCGCGCTTGACTTGTGTTCCTTTTTTTTGAGTGGTTTGTTTCGGTGTGATGGATTTCCGATCTTTCCAGCCCTATCAGACTTTTGCAGGGAGTGTATGGGCAAGGCTATTTCTCGGATAAGATTCGGTATAACTCGGTCTCTGTAGTTAGTACTCCTCAGCCGGGGCCAGGTAGAACTTATTTTTCTTTTTAATCTTTTGTTAAACTATTTACCATCACGTGCACTATAACTGTTATCTTTAATTTTTTATCAAAAACCACGATAGAAATTTCACAATCGATTTTGAGAGCTTTCATCAACCCACAACCATTGTCAAGGCAATTTTCATCAGTATTACTTTAGCTTCGTTCAACCACATTCGACTCGGCAGCAGGTCTTTTCTCATTCTTTGCAAATTGCAATACTGCATCTTTCATGACCACAACATTTTACATGAAAATCTAACTTGTGATCTCGGATCTTAGTACATATTAAAACACTGAGTATTATAATTATGCAGTCCTATGCACATATTTTACGATTATATTCTCCAGATAAGTAAAATATTAAAACTTTTGTTTCAAAACAAACCTCATTAGCGGTCTGAGCAAGGCTGATAATCACAGTTTAATGATGGTGAGGGGAATTTGAGGAATGAATGTCACCCCCAAAACTGCCGGAGCTCTATGCGATACGGAGGGTGAAGCTGCGGCACAGCATGCCCGGCTCCCTCTCCCTGACCTCCCGTCTACCTTACCTCCCACCACTGCCTCCTCTCCCCAGAGCAAGGCTGATGAGTAATGCTGCCTGCTGCAAGTGTGGCATTGTCACTGTGCGCCCTGAGTGCAACCTACATGGCAGTGAGCTGCGTGCGGTGGATGCCTGCAGTATTATTAGTTACCTTGAGAAGGAAGGTCTGCATCCTTCCTCTTCACATCCTCATGATGTTTATCCTGATGATGTTTATTTACTGATCCGTCTTTTAGCCTTTTGTATTTTCAGTTATTCTATTATCTTATGATGTAACCCAAGTTTTATATCTCATTTTAATTCCCAATAGAGGAGTTATAACTAATGATTAACTGCACCATTAACATTAATTAAGGAGTCTCTAAACTAATTTCCCTAACACGCTATTCTTCAGATGACGAGTTTGACGAGTTATCAGATATAGATGGAGACGACAGTGCTGTTGTCAGCCAGTGTAACTCGTCTCTCTCCTGGACTTCTCTAGACGCTAAACAGTCAGTTCTCTCTCTCATTCGACTATTTGTTTACCATTTTGCAGTGATTTAGTTTAAGATTCCTCTCTTCGTGTGTAATTTGAGGAGTTCATACCAAAATACATGCTCAAAATACAGCTTCAACTTTAGTTATACTCTATATCTAGTTTTAATAACTACTGAATAAGATCACAAAACAATTCGCAAAATGTGCCTGGTGATGATAAGTATGCACGTCATAAGACCGGACATTGTGTTCTTTTCTGAAGGAAATTTCAGGATGAAGCCAAGTTGTTTCCCCAGTAAATAAACTGTTTCATGTTCAACTGTAAGGATAACATAAGTTTATATTACCGACACCTTGACCCCCAGGGACGAAGTGAGCGAGAGTGTAACCACCACTGATAGCGGACTAGGGAGTGATGCTGACATCTCCACACACCTCCCTATCACTCAGTCCCACTTTAAACACTGTCCTCCTGTCCTATACTTCCCTGCAGAACATGAGAAAGGTAGGAGAACTCAGATATAAAACTTAGTTTTTAAGTTACACTGTTTACACTGGTTAGCCACTGTTTGACATACAGCCACCTTCTGGTGGCATACTGTGTCTCAACTGGCATGGAGTGCTGGATCGTGCTTGGTGGCACCGCTCACCACTCACCACTCACCGCTCACCAGTAACCATGGTAGCTGTATTTTGAGTTAAGAGGAGGGATGACGTAGTAATTTCCTAAACCCCTGGCTGTGGTTGACTTATGTGGCTCTGGGACAGGGACAAAAGGATTTCGCGATTATTTTGGCCAAAATTCACGATACCGCGATTTTTAACAGACTATGCATTAAACTATACATAAAATTTGTCGCAAATAATGGGAAAAATCGCGATTCCGTACATGCCGCGATTTCCTTTTGTCCCTGCTCTGCAGGGACAAAAGGATTTCGCGGTTATTTTGGCCAAAAATCGCGGCACCGCGACAAGCCAAACTAGGCTAATTCGCGGCTAATTCGCGGCGGGAATTTCGAAAATCGCGGCATATTCGCGGCAAAAAATCGAAAAATCGCGGCGAATTCGCGGCAAAAAATAATGTATTTACAGTGCTTAGTTAGAGTTCACATATTCTTTGGCTATTTTATTTGATCGGCTCATGTCCCATGAGGATGTGATCTCATCATATGATCTGATACAGGCTGATGGGTCATGGGGGTCCATAACAACAAGAGCTGCCATAACTTTTGACATGATCTCAAATGTTGCAATGTCATACGTACTGTATGACATATCTCGTTATCGATACTGTATAACTTTCAACAGACGACAGGAGACATCATCATGAACGACCATCTACACTTCACAACTATAGCAATGGAATACTACGAACTTTTCAACCCAATTCCCATATCCCTACCTAGTGTATCCCCATCTAGTATCCAACCTCTACCCCTTGAAGCTTACATCAACCTGGACGACATCCTTACCCCGGCCCCCTGCACGAACCTTCTAGAAGTTCTAACCACATCCCGAGGGAAGCCCATGATTGTTCCTTATGTGGTCTACGACGAGATTACATGCTCTACAAAATAGCTTCCCATTGTCAGCATAAAACGATGATTTGCCAAATTCAGCCACTCTCGTGGAAGCTGTTACATTGCCCTGTTTAGCCTGTTTCGAGCGTTTGCTAGACGAAGGTCCAGCCGGTTTGTCGGCAGGCCGTTTGACAAAGCGGTCCATTATAACAAGCGAATACAATACCAAGCGAATAACGATGACGAAATATCTGACAAGTGACGATTCAATAACAACACTGATTTAACATACTGTTCGATTTCTTAATCCATTGTATGTCTTCTGGTCAACTTTATGTCGTTTGGTCAAGTTTTTTATGTCTACTGGTCAACTTTATGTCGTCTGGTCAACTTTATGTCGTTTGGTCAAGTTTTATATGTCGTTTGGTCAACTTTATGTCGTCTGGTCAAGTTTTATATGTCTACTGGTCAACTTTATGTCGTCTGGTCAAGTTTTATATGTCTACTGGTCAACTTCCATATACGATCTCGGAAGGCAGACCTCCCCTTCGCAATACGAGCTCGGAAGCGGGTGCTCCGCCTTCAGAGGTACGTATCGAGAATGACTCGGACAGAAAATTTTCTAAGTCAAAATTTTTCAAAGTTTTTCTGGAAACTACTTTTGTAGCATGTTTCATGCTACCCTGATCATTATGAGCCGAAAATATTTTTTTCGGTTTTTAAAGGTCACACATACCCTTCGATACACGATTTTGGACTCGAGGGCTCCCCTTGTAATGCGATCTCGGAAGGCAGGCCTCCCCTTCGCAATACGCCAATACGAGCTCGGAAGCGGGAGCTCCGCCTTCAGAGGTACGTATCGAGAATGACTCGGACAGAAAATTTTCTAAGTCAACATTTTTCAAAGTTTTTCTGGAAACTACTTTTGTTCATGTTTCATGCTACCCTGATCATTTTGAGCCGAAAATATTTTTTCGGTTTTCAAAGTTCACACATACCCTTCGATACACGATTTTGGACTCGAGGGCTCCCCTTGTAATGCGATCTCGGAAGGCAGGCCTCCCCATCGCAATACGAGCTCGGAAGCGGGTGCTCCGCCTTCAGAGGTACGTATCGAGAATGACTCGGACAGAAAATTTTCTAAGTCAAAATTTTTCAAAGTTTTTCTGGAAACTACTTTTGTTCATGTTTCATGCTACCCTGATCATTATGAGCCGAAAATATTTTTTTCAATTTTTCAAAGGTCACACATACGCTTCGATACACGATTTTGGACTCGAGGGCTCCCCTTGTAATGCGATCTCGGAAGGCCTTCCCTTCGCAATACGAGCTCGGAAGCTCCGGAAGCTCGGAAGCTCCGCCTTAAGAGGTACGTATCGAAAATGTACCTACAATCGGAACTCACGGAAGGCTGTAAATGTGATTAGTTTCATATTATACTTAATACTTGTAGAAAACGTGACATTTGGCCCGCAGATTTTATGGAAAGTACGCAAACTTGGTCCTCAGATTTAAAGGAAAATACACAAATTTGGTCTTCAGATTTAAAGGAAAATGCGCGATTTTTCGCGGAGGACTGAAAAAATCGCGATTTGTCGCGGAGAATGGGAAATTTCGCCATCTGTCGCGAAAAACGTAAAAAATCGCGATTTGTCGCGGAAAATGTGAAATTTCGCGGTTTCGTACATGCCGCGATTTCCTTTTGTCCCTGCTGCTCTGGGAGGGTGGCTAACTTGTGCCGCTTGTATTGTTAACAAACGTTGTTGAATATGTGATTTAACTTATTCAATTGTCCTGCATACCATGTCAATTAGTTTACATTATAAAGGAAGGTTAGGTTTGGGTTAAACTTAATAACTTAACCTCTTGGGTGCAAAATCAGTGAGCAGAAGGTCATTGGGTAGAAAAATGTGAGCCATTAAGGGCAAGGCCTTATATTTAAAGTTGAGATTATAATAGTCATATAATATGTCCGGGTAAATACTGCAAATATAGTAATCGTTACTGTTATGTTTAACTTGTATTCAAATAAATTATGATCATCCTCAGTATCTAAGCTACCAAGAGCGCTACAAAAGCAGCTAAAATGGAAGATGAGTACAATAACACCTAATGTTGTAAAGAATGTCATCGCTCGAACTGGCTTTGTGCCCTCAACCAGTGAGTCTTAGTTAACTGGCTGATATTAGGCTTGTTAAGAAAACATCGTTACATATTTTGACTGTACACACTACACAGGCTAGAGATTTGACACAAAGCTTACAGATTTGACACTTACGATAACCGAGAAATAAAAACACGACTTCTGTCCAAAAATATAACTTCCTTCTCCTACTCATTATAGCCACGTGACTTTGTAAAGACTCGTGAGGTTGTTACAATAGACAGTTTAGACATACAAATTTGTTGAACCGAGGCTGAATTACAAAAAAGATATCCTAGAGCGACGGGAGTGGATTGGATATTGGGGTAAGCATATGAAGGCAGCAGCTTTTAGAAACATACATCCTCATCAAAAAGTCAACCATTATCCTGGAACTTTCGAGATTGGTCGAAAAGACAAACTCTGGAAAAACCTGAACAAAGCTCAGATAAAACACTCCAAGAAGGTAAACACATTCCTTCAATTTAATATTTCTCTCAGTATGAATTACTATTTGTTAGTCTTGCAAGTTGTTACCATGACAAAATATATTCAAATATTCACCCTTGACAAACTTCTAATTTACGGATCTCTCCATGTCTCGAAATCTCACACATTTCAAAAGATAAAAGTGTTAGAGTTCTACTTGCCGTTGCTAAGCAACCACCAAGTTATATGCAACAACTGTAGAGAGTAGCGAGGCCCGGCCTCTCGTAATGTACGCGTCATTAGGATATCAAATAACACAGCGAGCATTGCACTGTTACCTTACCTCAGTTTAACTGAGAGAAGATAGGTTATTTGATAGGAGTATCTGATGCTTAATATTCGTCTCTTATACTATACTTCACTCAACCAAATATTTCGTTAAACCTGCACTATAATAGTCACAGTAAACAGTTGGTAAATTAAATATTCTCTAATATTTCCATGGCAAATTCGGTTTTATAAAACCTAATTATCAGATAAAAGTTCTAACCATGTAATAGTAAACTGTAAAACACCTCGTTAATATCTAGTTGACAAAACGATTTGAGAATTAGAAGTTGTGTCCTAGCTAACCTAGTAATCACGTTTACTCAGGAGTATGACTTTATCCCTCTCACCTTCTGTTTGCCGAGTGAGTGGAAGACTTTTAAACGATACTGGGACGAGAGTGGACACAAACAAAAGTGGATTATTAAACCGGTACATTTCACTATTTTAACCCATAAAACCGGTACAGTTCACTATTTTAACCCTTAAAACCGGTACATTTGAACACTATTTTAACCCTTAAAGCCGGTACATTTCATTATTTTAACCCTTAAAACTTCTATAGCAGTTTGTCTTATAGCCACGCAATATTGTCGATGGATCTAGAACATTGCATCAGCTAACGATATAATAGCTGAAATACAAGAGCTGAAATACAAGAGCTGACAGCTACTGTATTTGATTCACATTTTGTCATATTTTATCACTACACACTCCCCGACTCTAACAGACCTTGTTTTCAGCCTGCATCTGCACGTGGTATTGGTATCAAAGTCATCCACAAACTGAACCAGATACCAAGGAAACGAAACATAATAATCCAGAGATATCTGGCCAGTCCGTATCTTATAAACGGCAGAAAGTTCGACCTGAGGATATACGTGTACGTGTCATCCTACGACCCGCTGTGTATTTACATGTACGATAACGGACTTGTTAGATTCGCCAGTTCCAAGTAAGTTCAGGGCTCGGTTGAGGTGCAGTTCCGTCGACATCTGCAGAACTACTTTTAGTGTTTCTCAGCTCTCGTCGTCACGTACACTCCGCATACATTTCTATTGTTTCTGAGATAAGATTGAAGATAAGAAAGAACCAATAGTTGGCTTATAAAATGGGCAGTTTGGTTACTGACGATTGACGGCCACAAATCAATGCATCACATCATCATTATTTTGGAGGATGTTAATAGACAGATTTGTTACAGAGATTGTATATTTGAACATCCAAAGATGCGGATTTTGATTAGTTCCACGACGAATGTAGATCTGAGCATTGGGTCATTAACAAATAGTAATTGGAAACCACTCTCACTAATTTGGCAGTATCGAGATAGCCCGACCACTGGTCCGCGGACCACTGTCTGCGGACCACTGTCTGCGGACCACTGTCTACCAGATCATATTACTGTATAATAACAGTATCCCCTGAATCAAGCAACAGGTGTTTGTGAATAGTTGATTGGTTACCAGATCATATGAATGGTATGTATGGTATCTTGGATGCAATTAGTTACGACTAGCATAATTAATTGTAGCGTAGTAAATTACTGGATCAAACTATTGATTACGATTCAAATGTGGTCTCTCGGAAATAATTAGTTACGAATAATATTGATTGCTCAATGAAATAAATGATTACGATTAAAATGTGGTATATAAGTCGTTCGTTTTTGGTGAAGTATTATCAGTTGCCATCATCAACAACAACAACTATTCCAATTCCTGACATGGTACTCTTCTGTCTAATGGACGAAATTAATGGACCCACCGCCTCCCTAGAGAATGCTCGAGACTTCCTATTCCAGAAAAACCTCCTAAAGAGCTCTATCTATCGTGTCTTGAGGAGTTGGTGGAATGGAGTCCGGGAGTTGATGCTCAGGACAAAGCTTTGTTATCTTTTTTGTAGTAGAATGTAGGATCCCATCGAGGACTGAAGATTCTCGGTGGACATTCATAACAACGCAGTTGTTACATTTGGAGCGGACACGAGGAGCATGAGCAGAGGAGTTAGCAAGACCTCCGGCATCAGAAGATGCTACAGGGTCATGTGAACCCTGCTTGATTCAGGGGATACTGTTATTATACAGTAATATGATCTGGTAGACAGTGGTCCGCGGACAGTGGTCCGCAGACAGTGGTCCGCGGACCAGTGGTCGGGCTATCTCGATACTGCCACTAATTTTGACCGAAATGAGCTGCAGCATTGCGCAGTTATACTTCCCTTATTAAGTTACATAAATAGTGATATACTATGGCATTACATTCATGCTATCTCATATTGTAATATATACCATTACGAAATTAAATCATCAATGCATCTATCAGGGCAGAAGTGTAGAATATATACAGGATAATATACCTCCTTTTTGTTGATTCGTGTGTCATCACTTTGGGTGTAACCTATTTGTAAGCCACAACATTTGTGGAATTTGTTACATTAACATTTCAGATACTCACATTCGAGCAAGTCACTGTCTAACCGGTATGTTCATCTCACCAACTACAGTGTCAACAAGTTCAACGATGCTTACATCAAAAATGAGGATGAGACCGGAACTGAAAGTCACAAGTGGTAAGAAACCTTTGTGTGTTTTTCATAGTCATTGTCTCAACGGGGATGAAGTAATGTTCAAATTTAGATATTTAGTGGTTTTAAAATGGTTTTTCTTTGGAATGCTTTTCAATGTCTGAACTGTTTTTAAAACCTGCTATTGATTGACGTGACAGGGGTCTGAATATGTAGTTCAAAAGTATTCACGCCAGCATATTTTGTTCATTATCTATTAAGTAAGTGGCAGTATTTGGTCACAATGTCAGATGCAATCACCGTTTTTCATTCATTACATTTTCATTTTTGTGACAGCTTGTCTGATGAACACAAATGAATTGAAAATTCCACCTGACGAAAGGGCAGCAGCTCGATCATGTACCTTTAATGCTCCTTGTCAGATATCAAGATGTAGCAGTCACTGTTAATTTAAATATCGAGAAACTGAACCTCCATTTTATTTTTACTCATCAAATATTCCTATTTCCAGGGGTTTGAAAGCTCTGTGGAAATATTTACAAGTGGCGGGACAGGATGTCGAAGGGATAAAAGCTAAAATAAAGAACATTGTTGTTAAAACGATCATAGCCTCAGTTCCCACTGTAACGAGTCTATCCAAGAGTCATTGCAAATACCGACATACATGTCATGAACTGTTCGGATTTGACATATTTCTTGATCAGCATCTGAAACCCTGGATCATAGAGGTGAGTAAAAACTGTTTTGCAAAATGTAAAGAATAATGTAAAGAATTTGTCCCAAATGTATGTACGATCCAAATGTATGTACGTTCCAAATGTATGTACGTTCCAAATGTATGTACGTTCCAAATGTATGTACGTTCCAAATGTATACACTATACATACATAGAAACGTACATCTACGTTTCTATGTGCTGTCTTTTTGTTGTACTTTTATTAGACTGCGCTAGTTACACTAACACTGTCACATGTAGTGTGTCATTAAGATAAACGTGTGCAGTTTCATAATTAAACACAATTGGCATAATGTCGCACATTAGTTTCAATTGATACTTCATTTTATGTTGCTAAAACGTCGGTTCATCGTTGATAACAGCAGAAATATTCCGAGTATGTAGCTGTAATCGGCTGGAAATTGTAAGATGAGAGAAGCCCGGTCTTTCTTTCGCTAGAAAGTTCATTCCTATTCTTAAGCTTCCAAAACTAATCTCTGTTGGCAATGAAGATGCATGATGCATATCACACGGTAACTTGAAGTGCAATGATTAGATACGATGAAGGACATTTGTATAATTTCATAACATGGAATTCATAGATCGTTCTCGATGAAGAAATTTTTATTTCATTACTTAGAATTCGACGGACGGATACAGATGTTACAATTGCTCGATAAATCTAGAATTCGCCTGCTACTGCTAGTGATTCAGAATATGTAAAAATTGCATCCTAATGCATTATATCAAGGATTAAATACTATGAGGCAGTCAAACTTCGATCAATTTAATTTCGTATATGTTTGTTTGTTAGTTTGTTTGTTTATAGAACCCGTCCCCAATCTCGTATCGGAAAATGACTAAATTTCGTATATAATACATGACTATTTTTTAAATGAAAGAAATATAAATCTGGCACCTGCAAACTTATCATTTTGACCCGGTGCTGACCCCTAACTCTAACTCTAACTCTAACTCTAACTCTAACTCTAACTCTAACTCTAACTCTAACTCTAACTCTAACTCTAACTCTAACTCTAAAGTCTGACTCTAATTCTAACTCTAAAGTCTAACTCTAACTCTAACTCTTACTTTATCTCTAACTCCAACTCTAACTCTAACCCCTAACCTTTAACTCTAACTCTAACTCTAACTCTAACCTTTACACTCTACAGGTAAACATATCCCCAAGTCTCCACACCAGTGCCCCGCTTGACAAGCACATAAAATACGGCCTGGTAAAGGACCTGTTCAACACGGCAGGGTTCCTGGTACCCCAGACCCCCACCAGGACCCGGTCTACAGCACCCTCCAGTAGAGGTCCTCACTCCGGGACCAGCACTCCCGCTGGGGGTAATGTCATTGTTGGGGGGAGGCAGGAGGGTTGTAACGGTGAGAACAATGACAATGTCACTGATAAACAACTCTACTTTAATCCCGGTAAGGAATATGTTTATAATGTTGTTAATCAGAATTCCTGATAGAAATGTAGAGTATAATAGAAAACTGTTAGGATGTCATGCATTCCATTTGCAAGACCTCATACGTTTCTACTGACGTAGTTTTAAATCACTTAAACTGTAATATTCTAAGGAATCCAGCTATCAAGTGACGAGAAAGCTAAGCATGCATACTTTGCTCAGAAGTACCCAACAGATGGCTCAGTCTCGGAGAAGATACTTGATACTCTCACTCCTGATGATATCAGAGTGCTTATGAAGTTTGAGGACGAGGTATGGAATTAACATTTAGTAATAAACATTGTTTTATCTTATAACTAAGTAATGGCCACAATTATTCGCCGTGTTACTTTCTTCTCGTTTTACGAACAATACCTGTTAATATTTATTGCAATACATTTTCTGCGCCCTAAACAATGGAATTCATATTGATATTGCTGCATGTTCTAAAAACTTGCTCTCTGCTTGCTATTCAATAGATTACAGATATCTGTTTTCCAGACCACTCTGTTGCAGCACAGCTTTCCAAAGCTAAATCAACACTGATCAAAACAATTTGATATGTTAACATGTTTAAATAAACGTTTTAATTTAAAACAATTGAAGAGTAAACGACCAATCACAGCAGTCCTGCTCTGGTGCAGCGCATTCTGATTGAATTCAAGTACGAAAAGCACGATATTCACACATAAACAATAAGGAGCTGTTCGCGACTCCTTATCTTCATCTCCATGAATATTTCTGTTTTTCCTCAGATTTCAAGAAGAGGAGAGTTGGAGTTAATATTCCCCACCGAGTCCGGGGGTAAATATTTGAAATACTTCGTGTTGCCCAAATTCTACGATCTGCTCGTGTTACAGTGGATTAAGAAATACGCTAAGGATCCACATCGTGGTGTTGCCAGACTTCAGAAATTAGCTGAGTCGCAGGTTTGCTCTTTTGACGTCATTAATTCAGTTAATAATGATCATCAAAGTATATTGTATATACACACAAGCGTCAAAATATTGAGCCTATAAAACTCACAGCTGATCTGTTAATATATCCTGGTAAAAACTCATTTACACGGAATGTAACACACAGGTACAATTTACTCGCACTCCGACAAACGCTGAAAACATTTGGTGCAAGCAAAACCTCAGAAACCTGAAACGATACGATAAGATCAGGTTTGTTATGTTTACAAATTCCGTCCTTATGCATAACATTTATACTGAATAAATGGAAGATTTAAAACTAACGCCAATATAGCAATTTGCTTTAAAAGTAGTCGAATCAGTTCTTTGATGAATATAAATCAGCCGAATAAATGAATTTGTAAAACCATTGTATCAATAATTTGTACATAGCTGTTATATTACTCGTTTTTACTGTAACTAAAATTATACATTTAGGTGGAAATAAATAGCACGTGTCAATTTATATACAGCCTGTAAGCATTCAATGTAATCTTAGCATATCTCTTCTGCGTGTCAACTGTTACATGCCAATCACTATTACATTGTACAACTATATTAACAGCCTGAAATTACTTTTAAGGTAGTTTTATAGTTTTAAGATCAATGTTTATTCGTGCGTAATAGATGTGGATTCTGGTGGGGAGGTGAGGTATATTTGTTGACCTGAAAGTTGACACGTGATCAATCCATACAATTATGCCATATATGGGATTATTGGGAGGTGATGCATGTTTTGATGACGTCACAATGTCACATGTTGTATATATGGCATAATTGCATGGATTGATCACGTGTCAAGTTTCAGGTCAACAAATATACCTCACCTCCCAACCAGAATCCACATCCACAGTTTGTAATACTGATGGTAAAAGTAGTTTCCTTAATTTGGTAATCGACTTAAACACTGTAGAAGACTTAAGAAGACCCCCCCCCCCCCCTTAAGATGAATTGACATAATATTATACTTGCTCCTCTGCCCACCATTTTGTAACAATCTTAAATAGATTACCACATCAAATATTTCATTATTGTTATTATATGTATCCATGGTAACGCATGTGTATGTTGGGTATGTTATTACATATACCTATTAGCAGAGGCACATATTAGGTGCGGTAAAAATATCGAAATTATGCGGTACCGCACCCGACTATAAAGGTAAAATGTGCGGTAAGGTGCGGTAAATTGTTACCAATTATGCGGCAAATGTGCGACGATTTTTTCGAAATTTGTGCGGGAATTGTGCGGTTTTATTTGCATTTTCTGAAGGACTTTGGAAATTCTAAACGTATAACCGCCGCTCTTATCAAAAATAGGTCTGTTTATGTGTTACTGAGGGTGTAGGTCTTTACTAAGACCATGATTGAACCTTATTGAGATTCAGTTATCTGAGAACAGTGACTTGATCTGGTAGAGATCAGGAGACAGTTATTTGAAGACGCCTCTTGATAGAGTCGATCAGATCCCATGCGTGATCGCGAATATGTGACACGCTTGTTGGCATTGATCGTCAGTACTTGTAAACCGTTTGATCCAAGATCCATTAAGCCCACCATAAAGCCAACGCTACAACGAATAGAGCTCATTACCAGATAAAAAGGGCTGCAGGTATGATCGAAGTACGGTAACGACGAGGGTTCCATAACGGCCTGGGTCACGGTCCCGAAAGGGCCTGGGTCACGGTCCCGAAAGGGCCTGGGTAACGGTCCCGAAAGGGCCTGGGTAACGGTCCCGAAAGGGCCTGGGTCACGTGGTAACTGGGTCACGTGGCCTAGGTATGAGTTCCAAAAGGGCCTGGGTCACGGTCTCGAAAGGGCCTGGGTCAGGGTCCCGAAAGGGCCTGGGTCACGGTCCCGAAAGGGCCTGGGTCACGTGGTAACTGGGTCACGTGGCCTAGGTATGAGTTCCAAAAGGGCCTGGGTCACGGTCCCGAAAGGGCCTGAGTCACGGTCCTAAAAGGGCCTGAGTCACGGTCCTAAAAGGGCCCGACTTTTAACATATTTTGGTTTTTACACTCGAAAATCTTAACGCGAAAATTTCAAAATTATGCGAAATTACGCGGAAAATTCTAGATTATGCGGAAATATGCAGAAAATTACAAAATTTGCGGAAGTGTGCGGAAAACAATAAATTATGCGGAAATGTGCGGAAAACGGTAAATTGTGCGATCCCGCACCCATCGCACCTAATATGTGCCTCTGCCTATTAGATTATTGGAGCACGTACACCTTACAATCTAGATGTCAACTTGCCGCTCATTACAAGCCTTCATAGTTCATTTCTTTTTCTCGTGCGTCAAATCTTCGTCGTGAGAACAAATATCACGGGCCGGCCCTCTCCTGTAGCTTTCTGAGCTACTTGGCATTTAAAAAATTCCGCTGCCCGTGAACCAGAGCTCCATCTTCAATTACTCCACCTTGAGAAGCAATAAAACAGCTGATCTGGCGCATGAAGAATGTTAAGCATGTCGTCATGTACAATGCGTGTCTGAGAATCTTCAGCTGGCCAAGTGATTTGCATCATCTAGGATGGTGTGGTAAAATGGTGTTTCGTTGTCATTTCATTGGCTTTGAGTAGATAAAAACAATCAATAATGTACTCTGGATGGAACACAAGTTGGCATGTTTAGCGTGCTGAGTTAACCGCGTGGTGACGAGAAAATAAATACACCGAACATGGTGGTCGTTTTTATTTATTAATAAGAAACTTCGATCATTGCAAAATGAGAATGCTCATTGGTATTTAATAGCTCTTGGTATAACTTCACAATCCTCAATTAATCAGAGATACCAGTTTAAGTTCATGTTATTCATGTTATTCATTCAATATTTTCTTGAGTGGTTTGTTCTTATGTTTGCATGAAACAACTGACCGTACATTGCATCTCAAGTGCATCTTATCTTGCATACAATTCATGTGATGTTCGCATGTTCAACATAAAGATAAGCAGACCGTTTAGTTTAAACGAAGTCAATAGTGAACCAAATTGAACCCTTCATATTACGTTGTAGTAAAAGGACTGCACCTAAAATCGAAATATTTTTGCAAAAATAAGGCACGATGCTAATTTTGTCCTCTCTATCACTAGATAACAATTTTGTTGCTGGTTCTAGACAGGGTTCACTTCTGGCTCAATGTTTCATCGCGGGTTTACTACTAGATATGTCTGCATATGTTCTGTGTATAAAATAATCCCATCAACGAGGCTGTTGTGAAAAGCAAATGTTCCCAAAGCATGATACTTTCCCATCTTGAATCTGGAGTTTTATCAGGGAACCCACAAGTCGAGTGTTTGTACCACGGGTCCCAATGCCCACTCCATCGTCTCCAGTACAGAGCAGCCAGTCTGGTGCTAGCACCCCCAACAAACCAGAACTTGTATCTACCACTCTCATCACTGCAACAAATCCTTACAATTCCCCCGCTGTGCGCTACAAGAGCAGACCGTCTCACTCTGCGCCTTCTTCTGGTGGCACGCAGCGCAGTACCCCGGGGCGATCTGTAGCGCAATCTGTAGCGCTGAGAACCGCCGCGGTTCAGCGTAGCTCGGTGCCTTATTACGTGCAACGTAGCACAACCGTACAACGTAGCTCGGTACCGTCAGTGGCAGCTCGGAACTACGCCAAGAGGACGCCTCATGCGTGCAGTGTGGTGACAAACAGCGAGTCACCCGCACCCGACACCATCACCCACTTTCCCAGCGTGGACTGGCAGTCTAACTACCATCGAGCACAGCAGAGTCTAAACAAACTGAAACTAGTCAGATTCCAGAACTGGGAAACGTCCAGTCGGACACGGCAGGACAGTGGCTGTATAGTGACTCAATGGATACCAAGTGTGTCAGATAGCAATGCTTGAGATATGCTGGATACTTCTTAGGGTTAAATATTTGCTAGTCTTGAATTGAACATTATTACATATATATATATATGTAATAGTACATTTATGAGCTTAACCTAACATTTCACTTAATAATGAACGGATTATTGGAAGTTTCATTTTGATAAATAGCATGAAAAATCGTTTCACTTGTATTTAAAAACGCATCCCCAACCTCCCCTAGCATCGAATATCTATTCCTGAAATTGTTTCTTTTCTAACTGCTCACTGCTCGCGTTTGGTCGAGCTTCAAGATTAATGACCCCCAGCCAGTCTCACTTTCACATCACATCATTTAGCGATGAGAAAGAAAAGATAATGATAATCTATTTTAAGCACATGGCGCATGTATTTGCTAATGATAATCTGAAGTGTAGTGATTAGTGGGAGCATGATGAAGTGCACTAAAAACTATGCCGCTGCTTGACGGATGCATGTTTCGTATCGGACATCGCTTCACGAGTTCTTCACCTGACGAACATCCCTCCATCTTATTGGATTAGTACACTGTCGTACAGGCTCTCGTTGAAATGTACTTGTATCGCGGAGTACCGGAGTGCTCCGTGCACTATATCGCATGCATGTGCAGCTTTCGGTGGCCTGTAACTTTCCAAGGGTAGTGATTATTTTTGTGGAAGTGTGCGGGGAGGCGGTTAAGGTGGAATAGTTGCAGAAACTTGTATTGCTGTGTGGTTGGTTAGGTTAAATTAGGTTAAAACCTAATTTTGGACTGCGGTTATCGTAGTGGAATGCGGTAATTTTTGTGGTTTTTGTCATTACATAAATTTCGATAAGATCATTAGTGAACATTAGTCTTCTCATAGATAATCATTAGATAAATTGTCTACGATTTATCTTGTGCCCTGAGTTGAGCGGTGACTGAGGAAATACTTTTAGTCGTGTATGTTTATCAGTATAAATATAATACGTCTAATTGATCGATAAACGGTTACACATTCCTCGTGATCCGACTTTTAAGAGCTTTTAATGGTGAAAAAATAGATAAAACTCGTTACATTATGTCAATTTCCATTAACTAATGGCAGAAATTACCGCATAAGATCGTCTGCAGTATCTGTGAAATTAACCGTCATAAATCCATCAGTTACCCTTTGTTCTAACCAATGATCTCCTGATCACGATCATTAGCAGCTAGCTGTGTCCTTTAACCAGGATAATGATTTCGTATGGTGTGAGCGATGGCTAATGTGCCACTAACTCAAAAAGGCAGGGCAATATGTCATCGGTGTCGAAGTTCTGGGCTTAGCTCTCCATGAAATACACACGCTGACATAGGCTGGACTAAACGAATTAAAAAAATGTTTTACAATTCGTATTTTTTAAGATTAAACTATCCTTATAAGGAAATAGGTGCAATGACTATGCCTCAAATTCTCATAATAAGATCGCTGAAGTATACATTTTTTGCTAATTGCAGTGGGGCAACATTGAAGATGGTCACCCCCTCTCCCTCCTACAATTCGTTGTGAATTTTTACTGTTTGCGTTTGCCTATTTTATGGTGCCCCTAAGTCCTTGTGGCCCTGGCAACGTTCTTGCGCCTCTTCTTCGCATCGACTAAAACTGAAAAGGGTGGGATATTGGTGGTTTCGCTGCTAAATGGGACGGTTGTCCATGAAGACGGCCTAAATTTCAGCAATATTGCGCCCTCTGCCTTCCAGGGTCTGTGGTACCGTTTGCTATAATACACCACTGGTACAAAATGCAGTACTGGGTCCTAGTACCAGACCCAGTACTAGTACTAGGACCAAGTTTTTTTAAAGGGAATTTTTAAGTCTAAAAATAACGCACGTTTACCAATATATATTTTGTATGAAGTTGTGTTTTCTGTAGCAATAGTACTTACGTAATAAAGCGATTAGTTTCCTATGCGGTTTACACAGATTAACTTACTGAGCGTCAGTTACATTGAGTACATTATTTGGATAAATTTTCATCACTGACTTCACGTCTCACAACAACTTGTATACAAAGGACGAATGAGACTGAGAGTATAATTATAAAACCGACGTTTCGGCACCTATTGGTCTTTGACACGGTTAGACCTTGAGAAACCTTATCATAAGGCCATAGGCCATGAAACGTCGGTTTCATGGGTATACTCTTTGTTTAATTTGGACTTTGTATACAAGTTGCTGAGAGATTCAGTGATGAAAATTGTATAAAATAACAGATGAACTTAAATAGAATCAAAGCATATCCGTATTCGGTGTCCATGGGATATCGATTATAGTTTTTCCGCTGAGTTTGACTCTAAAATTTCGATGAAATGAGCACGTCCTGGAGCACAGGACAAGATCAAAGCATAAATGAAAGGAGTCCGACAAAATGAGCCTAGAAATACGCTTCAAACATATGACATATCGGGTATATGCAAAGCATATTATGCTTTGGTTCGCCAGCCTCCGAATAATTGCCAGTCTCTGTCACTACTGTTCTGGTAGATTTTTTTACGTGTGCGGCGAAAACATATAATAGTTTCAAGTATCCTCCGAAGCAACTAGTGTAACATGCCACGAGCGCGCGGCGCGGCAATATCTCGCACGCGTGCATGGTCCGTCACAATAATTGTACAAGCCGCGGTCACTTAATTTCACACCTCCCTGCATTTTCAACTCATTATCAAATTCCAGTGTCCACCATCTTATTTTATTATGGACCAATCACACAAGAAAACTCGAGTACAAGAAAACGCTGCTCAGATAACGCCATATAAAGGGGGTCGTTCACATATTACTGATTACGTAATCAATATTTTGGAAATTCTTGGTTTTACACCGATCATATTTTCACAATGAGAAATGACATATTGTAGACATCTGGAAACTCGAATATTTCGCAATTTTCCCTAATTCTCCCTTCTTAAATTGGCACTGACTGGTTTGACGACTTAAATTGATTTAAATTTATTTATTAAGATATAAGGTGAGTTTTTAAACTTGAGTAATGATTAATAAAGGTGAAGTTATGAAACTTGAGTTAAAAATAAATAAGTGGAGAACACTTTATATTACACTTGCAGTTGCGTAGGAGTTCTATTACTTTTATAAGCATGTACATTTTAGTAATTTTTTGATTTTAGTTTTAATGTAAAAGCAGGGAAAGTTCATTTTATAATTTGTGTTCATTAGATATTGCATTCGTGATTCGATATCCTATCAAAAATCGAGAATGTAAGCGTTAAGCAAGCTGTCAGAATCTAGATATAAATTCTGGTTAAATGTTACAATTCATAATTTTGAAGATCATCCCTCTTTTCCTAGATTTGCATGATGCAGTATAATAATGGTCCACTGAACACACAATTAACGCATGAACACTTAACTGAGGGTTGATATACGGTTAACACACGGTCGACGCACACAGAATCAAACGACACTAAACGGGTACTTAAAGTGCGCTTACGTTGTGCTGGGTGACTTTTTGATGTGTGTCAATCGTGTGTTAAGTGTCCGTCGACAGATGGCTAAATTACCAGACCGGTATCAAAGTCATCCAGAGTAGCTATCAGATCATCATATATTTTGTGTTGATAATAAGGGCAGTATAAGGATTAAGGAAAGGCGACACGGCGTGTGCCAGCATGGAGTAGTCTGAGTTTCTTTGAAACTCAAACCCCATATAAAACATATGCAAAATCTCACATCATAAAACCTTTATAAAACTGACTTATGGTTACATATTATGTTTATGATTGCTATTCTATATTTTGAAACTGCAAGTTAATGAACGCCTTTATGTCTTTAAAACCACCTTTACAGGAGTGACTTAAAGCTCATGCGGTCCACATCACCCTCTCTGGTTATCACATTAATAAATAATAATACATTTCCACATCACGTTTACACGTTACCCCACCACCACCTGTACCTTTACATATCCACTCATTTTACCCCGGTACTCAGAGGCAGGCAAAGCATTATCATGTTATCCTCTCTTAAAAAACAACAACTAAAGACCACCTTTACTATTTACTAGGGCCAGCATTTATGTCAAAAAAATTCGAGGGAACATAGAAACTAGAAAGATATCGTTGGATACACAATTATCCCCTGTTTGGTTTTTGAACAATAAGATTATACTACTCACTTTAATCACGTAGACAACACGTGATTCATCCAGTCAGCAAGTGTATGCTCTTTAGCTGTAGACTGTAGTGCAGTTTATATTCTTGATCACAAGATTCCTATCGAACTGAAGCTATAAAATAGCAAATGGATTATAGTATATAATTGTTGGAATATAGAGCAAAGGGTAACTTCTTAGATTTAGGGGGACTCTTTAAAGAGATGTTTCTGACATATATTACATTCAAAAAAATAGATTCGACTGATTCTTAGCTCACTCTGTTGAAATCAGTGGGGACTCCTGGATTAAAAAAAGTTGTAAAATATAATAGCAATAAAACTGCTGAATTTAGTAACTATTTTATAGATTCTAAACTAGTTATATAACGGTTTATTTATAAGTGATAAGAAGACTCACAGAAGCTCGTTGAACAGAAGCTGTCCACCTTCTCGGAAGGTAAGATTTTAACCACAATATTAAGCGATTACAAAAATAATAAAATCGGTCAGTTTGTTTTAGTTTATTATTTACCTCTAAATCTTCTTCACTTGCACAACTATTTACCTAACATTAACCAGCTTCTCTCCCTCACAGAGTAGCACCAGCAATCTACTACTAACACCTTCACTAGAAGTGTTTCTCCATCCCAAGAAAGGAGTTAGTCCTATCACTTACAAGCCTCCACTACCCCTTCCCGCAACACGGCGAACTGTCCAATCTGTTGTTCTGGCACGGAGTCAGCCCGGCCTTGCACAGGTCACCAGATCCAGTGCGGGTACCAGCTCCCGCAGTCAGACAACCCGCACCACCGTCACCCGACCCCAACTGGACTCCGTTCCTAAGAATCAGCGCAGGAAACCAGTAGACTCGACAACTGTCGCTAGATGACAATATTTTTAGAGCTTATAGTCCAGTTATGTTGTCTGGTGCGCTTCTGCTTTATATGGTATTTGGAGATATTAAGCTAGAGTATATAAAATTAGTTAGCTGGTTGAGTTTTAGCAAGAGGGGAGAGAATCGCTGCTCATGTTTACCATCACTTTGTGTGCTGTCCAACCGTGCCAGGTTACAGACACGCCACCCTCCTCTTGTATATAAATTTCCATCTTAATGATTTATGGTTTGTATACCTTTTTACTTTACTCAACGACTGCACAAAATTACGCCATTTACGGCAAGGGCGATTTTTAATAGTTCTTAAGTCCCTACTTATCGTTGATAGTTTGACTTTGCAAATTGCAATCCTAAATGGGTCTAAAGTCTTCAGCTTGGCTCTTAGACTTTAGGTTGACTGAAATAGTGTGTGTGTGATTCTAGATTGTATTTTTCATATATTTGTTGAGCATTTTAGTTACGATTTACAATTAAAGTAGCGTTTCATTGTACCTCACTTTCAGATATCATTTAAATAATGACTATCAGGTAAAATGTTTAGTGATGAGAAACTGTAGTTGAACACTTTAATGATCAACCTAGTAGGCAGGTACAAAGCTGCTCGGATAAACTGTGCGGCCTTTGGTCTGCAGGGGGAGAGAGAGAGAAGAGAGAGAGAGAGAGAGAGAGAGAGAGAGAGAGAGAGAGAGAGAGAGAGAGAGAGAGAGAGAGAGAGAGAGAGAGAGAGAGAGAGAGAGAGAGAGAGAGAGAGAGAGAGAGGGAGAAGAAGAGAGAGAGAGAGAGAGAGAGAGAGAGAGAGAGAGAGAGAGAGAGAGAGAGAGAGAGAGAGAGAGAGAGAGAGAGAGAGAGAGAGAGAGAGAGAGAGAGAGAGAGAGAGAGAGGAAGAGAGAGAGAGAGAGAGAGAGAGAGAGAGAGAGAGAGAGAGAGAGAGAGAGAGAGAGAGAGAGAGAGAGAGAGAGAGAGAGAGAGAGAGAGAGAGAGAGAGAGAGAGAGAGAGAGAGAGAGAGAGAGAGAGAGAGAGAGAGAGAGAGAGAGAGAGGAGAGAGAGAGAGAGAGAGAGAGAGAGAGAGAGAGAGAGGTCTGCAGGGGGTTTAGATCAGTGCTGTTAATCGACTCAGTAAATTGACATTTTTCCTGGAAATTTTGTTCATATATAGTTTCCTTTAGAGAGCAGTCTTTGAAGTTGTTTTACTTTAAAATCGTCAAATCGTTTCATACGGTGTCGGTAACTAGCTCCCCTAAAGCTAAAAGATCCTACTCCAGCCCTGACATTAACCAAAATCGTAACCCTTAAATAGAGCAGATTTTGTTTAGTGTTTGGTGTGCTCATAAATTTCGCAGAATCCTTCTGTGACTATAAAAATATAGTCATTAAAAAGATTTCACTGTCCTTGCTCTTGAAGACGTTAGTGACTTCAGATTTGGCTTAAACAAGTGCTTATGATTTTATATAGAAGTAAAACTGAAAATGAACATTTTAGATTCTAAACTAGTTATATAACGGTTTATTTATAATGATAAGAAATTATAACTCACAAAAAGCTCGTGAAACAGAACTGTCCACCTCTCGGAAGTAAGATTTAACCACAATATCTTAATCTTTAAACGAATTTTCAAAATATAAAATCGGAGCTTTTTTTTAGTTATTATTTACCTCGCAAAAAATTTTAAATAAAAATTTTTTTTTAAAATTTTATAATTACAGACCCTTGCTGTCCCACTAAAACTTATTCCCCCTTGCCAATAATTAAAAAAAAAACCCCCTTGGAAACTATTTAACTGAACTTAACCCCTTCTCTCCCCCCCAGAGTAGCACCAGCAAACACTACAACACCTTTTTCCCAGAATGTTTTTCTCCATCCCAAGAAAGGGGTTAGTCCTATCACTTACAAGCCTCCACTACCACTTCCCGCAACACGGCGAACTGTCCAATCTGTTGTTCTGGCACGGAGTCAGCCCGGCCTTGCACAGGTCAACAGATCCAGTGCGGGTACCAGCTCCCGCAGTCAGACAACCCGCACCACCGTCACCCGACCCCAACTGGACTCCGTTCCTAAGACCCAGCGCAGGAAACCAGTAGACTCGACAACTGTCGCTAGATGACAATATTTTTAGAGCTTATAGTCCAGTTATGTTGTCTGGTGCGCTTCTGCTTTATATGGTATTTGGAGATATTAAGCTAGAGTATATAAAATTAGTTAGCTGGTTGAGTTTTAGCTAGAGGGGAGAGAATCGCTGCTCATGTTTACCATCACTTTGTGTGCTGTCCAACCGTGCCAGGTTACAGACAAGCCACCCTCCTGACCTCCTCTTGTATATAAATGGTTGAATTTCCATCTTAATGATTTATAGTTTGTATACCTTTTTACTTTACTCAACGACTGCACAAAATTACGCCATTTACGGCAAGGGCGATTTTTAATAGTTCTTAAGTCCCTACTTATCGTTGATAGTTTGACTTTGCAAATTGCAATCCTAAATGGGTCTAAAGTCTTCAGCTTGGCTCTTAGACTTTAGGTTGACTGAAATAGTGTGTGTGTGATTCTAGATTGTATTTTTCATATATTTGTTGAGCATTTTAGTTACGATTTACAATTAAAGTAGCGTTTCATTGTACCTCACTTTCAGATATCATTTAAATAATGACTATCAGGTAAAATGTTTAGTGATGAGAAACTGTAGTTGAACACTTTAATGATCAACCTAGGCAGGTACAAAGCTGCTCGGATAAACTGTGCGGCCTTTGGTCTGCAGGGGGAGAGAGAGAGAGAAGAGGGAGAGAGAGAAGAGAGAGAGAGAGAGAGAGAGAGAGAGAGAGAGAGAGAGAGAGAGAGAGAGAGAGAGAGAGAGAGAGAGAGAGAGAGAGAGAGAGAGAGAGAGAGAGAGAGAGAGAGAGAGAGAGAGAGAGAGAGAGAGAGAGAGAGAGAGAGAGAGAGAGAGAGAGAGAGAGAGAGAGAGAGAGAGAGAGAGAGAGAGAGAGAGAGAGAGAGAGAGAGAGAGAGAGAGAGAGAGAGAGAGAGGGGTCTGCAGGGGGTTTAATCAGTGCTGTTAATCGACTCAGTAAATTGACATTTTTCCTGGAAATTTTGTTCATATATAATTTCCTTTAGAGAGCAGTCTTTGAAGTTCTTTTATTTTAAAATCGTCAAATCGTTTCATACGGTGTCGGTAACTATCTCCCCTAAAGCTGATAGATCCTACTCCAGCCCTGACATTAACCAAAATCGTAACCCTTAAATAGAGCAGATTTTGTTTAGTGTTTGGTGTGCTCATAAATTTCGCAGAATCCTTTTTAGTCATTTATGGACATTATTGAATATTGGGTAAGTACCTGCAAATCTTCAGATACTCCTGAAACTTTGCACAAACGTCCCTTATGGTATGAATGAATGATTTCCGTTTGGAGTCCCATTTTTACCATGGGCAACCGGCAACGCTCAGGAGAGCCACGCCCATGTTGACCCAATGATGCAACTGTCCTTTGCTTCTGAAGATCGTAGAGACTTCAGATTTGGCTTAAACGAAGCTGCTTATGCATGTTTATATAGAAGTTATCAATGAACAATGAACATATGGCCTAAAATCCTTACCTTCAAGGATTCCTTACAGATTAGACGAAATCTGAAGATTTGCAACTTTGCAAGTAGATGTCCATAAATGACTGGACTATCAATACTACGGGATCTGTTTATTCACCATCGTATGCTCCCATTTCTTCAGCTCCAACTTTTAGATTTGATTTTACAATCTCCTTATATATGATCTTATGTATCCTTTGTTAAATTCTGATCCAGTCTTTGAATGCTGCAGTGCAAAAAAAAGCAAGTTTTTGTCTCATACAAACCCCAAAGTTATGGGCATACCACACTCGAAGTGAGGGCTTTGTGATTGTCACGCATTAGGGATCCCAAGCACAGAGTAACAAAGGGCGCAATCTGTGTAGAGAGAGTGCCCGTAAGCTGCAAACGCACAAGTACTATGTAACCCTCTTTGACGGTTTCTCATTAAGTTTCAGAAATAACACCTTAGATTGAAATTTGACCTACAGTAGCTAGCTTCTGTAGAAACCGTAGGTTTGGTACTTTTTAATGACGCGGATGGTGGCCTCCACACTCTACAGGAGTCTTGCGTGCTGCCTAACCTGTTTTCAGGTGCTCCTTTATCCCCCCCCCCCCTCATAACACTTGCCACCATCCTCCACTATACACTTTGATATCTCCGACAACCTCCCCCAGGGTTACCATACCCCAGAGGCAGGCAGAGCATCCTCATGCTATCATCTCGTGGGCCCAGCCTCTCTTTTTAAAAAAGATGCTCCTTTGTTAACTTTCTTTGTGACTTATTTCTGATACTCAACCAGCGAACTGTTTGAGGCTGAGCTGCTATTGCCAAATGCTGCTTTCGTGAGTTTCAACATTTCGTTCTGAAACCGGACAAAATGGAAAATTAAGCAACTAGAACTGCTTGGTTGTCCCTGAATTTAATTGAAATTTTGCACTGCATCCCACATCAATAGGAGCTGATCAAGCTATTCCATAAAATTTGAGAACACAGTCACTTAACCTTTGTCATCCACTGCTGCCACAGTATAGCGCTAAAGTCTAAACAGGTGCAGGAAGGTTAACACCTTTAACGAGAGGAGCTAACCAGCATGATAAGCAATAAGAGAGTAAGGTTTTCCAAACGTTAGCTTTAACATGGATTATATAATGCGGTGTGGAACCTGATTAGCCGACAATCGCCAATGATGTTTTGATGATAATACGGTGGGGACAAACATATTATATCACCCTTTACCATTTTTATCAAGGATTTATGGTTTTTAAGCCACGTTAAGGGTTAGGGATTCATGGTGCATAGGTTAGTATTACACTCAATATGGTCTCTTGCGAAAGCATGTTACATTTACCGTTTCAGCTATGATACATTTATTACTTCATGTACTTTTTGACGATTAATATCCGGTTTCTATTTGTGATATTTAATTTGTTTTCTTGACCTGGAAATACTAATTTTGTTTACAAAAGGTATATTAGAAAGATTCGAACCAGGAACCTCTCGATTAATAGTCTGACACGCTAACTGACTGCGCCACTGCATCCGGGTACACATAACCAGCGACTTCGCATCGTGAATTATAAGCAGTAAGACTTAGATGATGAGTATCGTTATAGTTATTTAAAATTATACTGCATTGTCATTACGAAGACATATAACAACTTGACATCTTACGTGAAGTTTATTATTTGATATCGGGCTAGACTCATGGTTCACATGTGAACTTCAGATGAAATTAAAGATTACTATCAATATCATGTCACTTCAACTTCAAACTTCATGTTATATAGAGGCTAAATGCTGGCAGTTGTAGCAGCATTATGCTGCTACAATTGGAAATGTTATCCCACTCAACTCCAGGTGTTTAAAGTTGATAACTAGTTAAATGTTAAAGTATTCGAAATTTTGATCAATTCTCTCCCTTAAATGCTTTATTCTAGTTGGTAGTCAAAATCAGGAGGTTCGGCTTGTTTCTCATTGTGACTGCATATATGTGGTGTTCAACCGCATGAAGTTTTTAAACGTCGCGTCGCGTCTGTAGAATCAAATAATATTCTATAACTTGTAATTCAGAAGTTTCTCTTTATTTTTGTTTTAGTATTTGTATCTGTCACAAAGATGTAATTAGATCGAACGCAGGTACCAAAATTCATCGTAAATCAATTTCCTCGCTGTCACCAACATGCAGCCAATGTTTGAGCCCGTGCAGTGAGGACTTGAAGATCAGTCTCACTCCTAGGACATGTGGTGACTCACCACTAGTGAGCGGGTAGTGGTGTGATCGATCGAGCAAATTGGTAACTTTATTTCAGTGGCTCTATGATTAAAGGGTAAAGAATGGGGAGAACGTGACTTTGTAAATACTTAACTTTGTGGATTGTCAGTGGCTTCCTCCTATAGAACCACAATAAAATAATTAATATTTGCTGACTTCCTCTCATTGATCCCCCGTATTGAATTCAGTGAACGCTGTCCACCCACGAAGATCAATCGATTCAAAATTCGAGCAAGTGCCAAGTTGCATGGAGCAACACCCTAAGTTACTAGGAGCAACACTGAAACACTTTAAGTTGCTAGGGGCATCGATCTACAGATACAAATTAAATGTATTTGTATCTGTATTCGAGTATTGTTATATATTGCAATAAAATTGCAAAATTTGTCAAAAATTTAGAGTAAAATGTCTCTGAAGACATCCTCAAAGCTATTTTTAAATGGCTTTATTTACAAATGACAGATGCTGCTTGTAGTTGATAAAATATCAGTGATACTACTGAATACTTTGCTTAACATCTGCTAGGTTGTGACATTTTTTATAGTGTTAGAGTTTAGATAACCATAAACCAAGTATTCTGTTTACTAAGGTATCTTCTATTAGCCTTTATCACATTTGAACTTTTGAGACTGCTTTCTGATACGCAACTCAATAAGCAGTCTGTAATAAGAACTTGATAACTCATTCGTGCCGTGTAATTTTATAACTATATGGTCTCAGTACCAATATCTGCTGAGCAGTCTGTAATATTAATAAGAACTTGATAACTCATTCGTGCCGTGTAATTTTAGAACTATATGGTCATGGTTTTAAGTTACTGGGCGGCGCTCAGCCTGTCATTCCGCCGAATCTTTATTCATAATAGCCTGGGGTCCCCAGGTAAGGTTTTAAGCTCCGCTTCCATAAACATGATGATTACGGTCATTTTGGTGGGGTTATTGACCTCGAAACTCTCATCAGGAACCGAGATACGTTATTTCACCAAACCGCGTATCGGCATCGCAATTCTACAATCTACATGGCCAATTTCAAATTGCTCTAAGTCTAAAAGGTTATGCGCGTCGATTCGTGAATCAAATTTGTTGGGGCTCTTTAGACCCTACTAAGTTGAAAATCGATATTTTTTATATTTTTTCACACGATGTATCTAAAAATTTCAGATATCCTTAGACCTTACCTATATCCGGTAAATATCAAGTAGAGTGCATGATGATCTTTGTTTTCTGGTATTAAATTTAAACTAACTCCTGTCAAAACTTATCAAACAATTTTAAAAGAATTAAGATATATAAAATATTAAAAATCGGAAACCCACTGGTGGAACCCGAGGAAATTGTAAATCAATTGTAATTATGTACTAAGCCTGATAAGAAACATATTTACAATGATATGGTTGTAAGGTGAGTAACTCATCACGCAAGATCAGCAGCTGCAGCAGCAGACACCATGTTCAATAGAGGAATTGTGTAATCGTAAAAAGCAAGGAAACAGACAATGCTGAACGATGGTTCATATTATGGCTTATGATTTTGGTTTCAAGTACAACTAGTTCATAAGGATTGATCTTTCAAAGTCTCAAACTGAATCACTTCTACAAAGGGCACTGGATCAGAGTCTATTAACTTTAAGAGCACTCTCATTTTGATTTCTCCTACCACGGCTTCCAGCAACGAACAATCAAACCCAGAATCATGACTCATTACCAGCCAAAACAAATATGGTTCGCATTTATTTGTATAGCTCAAACTATGAGCTATATAAATACACACGGAGGCGAAACTGCATAAACAGTTCTATTTTTGACACTCATCCTGGCAAGATTATACTTATAGCGATCACGAAGAATTGGACGAGGATAAAAAATATCATATAACAAAGAAGTGCAAATTTTCAAGTACAACTCATCACCAAATCTTCTGTATTCTGACCAGGAACTCCTATTCTTGGGAGCTAAATACGGCTGCTCCATCTCCTTGTTCTCCGACTTGCTATTATGTTTGAGTCATGTGACCAAGTCACCTGATGGATACCTGCTATCTCCATGCTCATCCTCGAACCAATAATACCAAACACGGACCTCAGTATGTTTCGTAAGAGTCTCTTTTCTCTCTCCTTACTTTGGATTCATTTTTTCTTGGTTCAGGCGAGCAGTGTTACACTTCAATAAGTATCGGGTGTATGCGGAGATAACAGAATGAGTGGAACTGGACAGTTAATGTTATTGAGTCGTTTTGATTTGTTTTTCAGTTCTCTTTTAGTATCAATCTGTAGTTGCAAGGTTTAACCCTTTTATACTTTTAAAATCAAATAATTTGTGTTCTTGTTGGAACTATGACGAAAATTATTGATACAATTTCAATACATTTTGCCACTCTTTTGTTTTGGTTAACTTGTCACAAATTTTAAATCACAACCTACAAAAAATTTTCAAATTTAAGTGTTTGGTTCAAATATATAACTATAAGCTGATAGCAGTACTTGAATAGTTGGATGTGTTTACGGACTATAGCCTTGAGACTATAAAACGCGCTCTTTAGTGATGCATAAATATCATAAATGGTTTCCTATCAAGTATTTAGTCATAGTTATGGAATAACTGTATTCTATGACAATAAAATAACCTGGCATTGGTAAGTTTATGAGATCTCAACTCCATTCATGTACATCAACATTAAACTGTTGAAGTGCTGATTCAGCCTTGGCTTTTTTGGCGAATAGTCTTAGATTTCTTCTTTCTTCGCAACTCTGTAAGCGGGAAAGACTAAAAATAAGACACTGTCATTTATCATAACTACCTGATGTCTTAGGAATGTCTTAGCACCAGCATTGCCATTCGCATTCATTATTTTACTACTTTTAGTATTTGCAAGTACTACTTTACCGTTATTTTACAGTGTTTTTTATTTTCAGAGTGTTTTTTATAATAGGCGGTATTGTACCCAAGCCTGGGTTATCGTTTTGCCATGGTTACCATGGTTACTAACCATGTTGGCGATATTGTTTGGTTGTGGCTAGGTGTGCAAAGTCACGTTCAAGGCTCAGTACTTGGGGTGAAATGTTGTCGAATCAAATTATCGAGTAAGCAGTAGATAGATAGTGATTTAAGATCAAAAGCGCTTAAAGTGGCCCATATATTGGTAAATGTTGGTAAATGCGAAGATATGAAAAGTGATCACCCATTTGAATCATTAATCATCGAGCAAGCAAAATATATGAACGTATTTCTTCTTTCCGTAAGAAAATTATTGATCATTATTTCAGAAAATTGCAGAAGATTTAGTCAATTCGAGTAATTGTTAATGGGGATTGGAGAAACTAACGTTCACCCGAAATATAATAATTATGAAAATTGTCTTCGTAACTGAATCTGAATCATGGGACAATGTGTCTTATTTCGACTAATTCGAAGATCTATTTTAGGACATCTATTTTTATCATGTCACATTAAAAGAGCCTACAGTTGCAATAAGACGACATTATTAACTTCTGATCTTATCGAAGGCGCCCAGATCTGTCGGAGCATGGAGTGGTATTACATGGTTGAGCTGATCGTCGTGGCTACATTCCTCGGCATAACGGTTGTTGGAGGCAGTTTTGTAATCGTGACTCAGATCAGGAAACCCTACGTTGCATCCTCCAAGGTTTGTACCCAGTTAAACTATAAATAATACCCAAACTTAGTCTTACTGTACTAACAGTTCTTCCTTAGTTACATATTATTACTTGTTCACTCAGTGTCAAACATACAGCCATTTTTATTTATTTCCACTTACTGTAAGTCAGTGAATAGCTTGAATTAAAAAATTATTAATCACGTGACCATGCTAAATCATTGATCTATCAGTGACTTATATATAATTAATATCCGATATTGTGTTGAAGAATATCTTTACATTCTTCAGCTGAGTCCGTTGATAATTCAACTGTTCGTTTCGGCAGAGGTCATGGTAATGTTGGGTACTTTTCTCATCGCAGCACTTGCCGAGAACAATCAATTATATGTAAGTTTTATTGTTTCTTTGTCTCACATCTAGGTGTGATAGCACGTGGGTAGCAGTGGCACTAGCAGTGCAGTGGCGACGCACTCTGTGCGTAGCAGTTCGTGCAATATGGGACAGACAATGATTTCTTATATTAAGCAGTAAATCATACCGTTTAATGAGGAAGTGAACCACTTGATCCTCACAACTCACCCTCACCACTTGATCCTCACAACTCACCCTCACCACTTGAACCTTACACTCACCCTCCATCAGTTGCACCGGCACGTGTGTATGCTAAATGATGCCATAGTAACAATTGGACTACCGGTAAACTCCACCACACTCCTCCTGGCTGCTCTAGATAGGCTTCTTCTTATCTACAGACCCCTTCGGTATCACCAACTCACCAGAAAACAGGTACCTTTCATATATTCTTCATAAAGATTCGGAAATAGAATTTTTCTTATGCTAGGCAGGGTTCAGTGGGTAACAACGCCAGACTTCTAGAAAAGTATACAAATGCTATTGCTTCGCGGGTGGCGTGATTTCAACGGGCACCATTGATTTTGGGAAGCAGCATCCTTAAACATATTTACTGTGCTCCCCAGCTACTACATTCGTTCAAATCATATTACTGTTTCTCCCAGGATACATAACATGAAGACTTTATTGTTGTAACTTGTATGGAAAGCATTAATAAACTCTACCAATAATTTTCACACCTTCTCAGGCGACGATACCATGTGTATTTGTGTCGCTGTTCATAGCTCTGTTATCGTGGTGCTGGAAACTGGCAACTCGGTATAGGTTCGCAATAAACATGGAATATATGTCCTTCATGGGGATGTGCCATGTTAACCTGAAGCACTGCTATCACCCGGACACTTCCGTCCCGGAGGTGTCGGAGACAGTTGGGATTGAGGAGAATGGGACACAGAATGGGACACAGAGTGGCAATGAGACTATCATATCGTCCCCTCTTCTTGATGGGTAATCACTCTCTTGTAAACTTTAGAAGTTAGAACACTGTAGAAGAATTGATATTTGTAATACTGACTGTATGGCTATTTGCTTCAGATATTGTTCAGCGTATCTTTTCCAACTTGATTAATTATAACTTTATTTTCGGGTAATTGCAACTAATATACGAAATACAATTAATAAAAGACAAGTATACATTTTTCCCCAGAACGGTTAGCGATTCAAAAGATCTGGAATGTGCTCGCCTGATCAGCTACGCTGAGCTCAACGATATTTCGTTTGGGCTAACCGTTTACTTGCCTGTCATTGTCACTTTGTGTATCTTCGTAGGATCTTACAACAAGTTCACCGAGGTATTACATAAACATCTGAGTTGGCAAACCAATCGACAAGATCTACTTTAAATTATATTATGTTCTTTAAACTTACATTTTGATTCTGAAATTTTACGTGTTACAAAATAAATAACAAGAAATTACGTTTAACTCATCAATGTCCTTTATAAGCGTTGCGCTGAATCCATCGAGAACGGGAACCGAAGAAGATCAACACTTTTCGGTAGGCAGACCATCTCTGAATCGATTATCTTTGGAAACAAATCTGTTTGGTAAGAAAAGCTGGACAACTGATTGAGTTTATCATTAACAAATTAATCCTAATTCCCACAATTTGCACAAATATGTTTCTTATTCTTAGACCGCTTGTAACTACTGTAATCTGTATCACAATCTGTGGTTAACCAATGGAGGAACAAGCGATACATTCGAAGTAATGCGATAGCTTAAACTAAAAGCTTTTAACTTTAGTAACTATCAAATTTCCACGATCTACTGGTGCATCTAAATGACTCGGTAATAAAGCTGCTGTTTTAGTCGTCAACTCTGAACTTACCGCCGTATCCTACTTTATTTCAGGCTTGGTGGCTCAAACGGTTTTGGTGAATCCAGTAGGAAAAGGAAAAAGACTCAAAACGAAACAATCGAATTAAAAGATTTTCGACCCAAATCTGAGGCATCGATGAAATTGAACTCCATAAGGGGAGTTAAACGGAAAGTTTCCTGGACCTCCAAAGCTCTAGATGGAAATGGAACAGTCGCTGACGCCGTTAGAGATGAAAAGGAGACCCTTGCTACTCCCAGATCGGTCAATCTGTTCCAAGAAGGTCCTTCCGTATCGGTCAGTTTAAAATTCTGTAAAACACTATTTATTTTTGGTATTTCCACTCAATCCTACCACATGGGCGGTCATCAAGGTAATGCCATTTAATTAAATGTGGTGACATAAGATAAGAGAACTCCTGAAAGCAATGAGGATGTACAAGCGTCACTATTTCTGTTATCATTGTCTAGTTCTGTACAAATATTTTTATGACGTTGATTTCGACAGACTTAATTCCTCGACCTTTCACATATTACCTCTGTATTTGCCCCTCTTCCTAGTTGATAATCCTTATCACCTCAGGCAAGTATGCTGGTAGAGAACATGCCTAATCTCAGCAGATTACCCTCACGAGTCATCGAGCGGTCATTCGAGGACAATGAGGAGGTGGAGAAGAGCAGGTTAAAGAAACTCCGAAGCCCATGAGAAAGTTCTCAAATAGCATAACCAGGCACCAGTTGGCAACTACCCGGTGTTTCATGGTCACTACCGCCATCACCTTCGTCCTTCTAACTGTCTACCTTGGGGTTGACATTGCTTTCAAAAAGAACACAGGGATGTCAGAAAAACCGTGGTTCGCTATGTCCATTTGCTTAGTTTCCATAAGTTTTGCTGACTTTATAGTGATGGCGATATTTAACTCTTATGTGAGAAAGGACATGATGTGCCTGTTCAGATTCTGCTGCCGATAACTATACCAGAGCCAGGTAAAAATTACGATACAAATCCAAAATGATGAAGAAGAGTAATGAATGAGTAGCAATAATGAATAAGAATAGCGTAGAAACGAGTAATATATCTAGAACCAGTTGCTGCATTTGGCTATGCTATAAATGGATGTTCTTAGATGTTAGAAAGGGCAGAAATGAATTATCTGGCGTGTTAACATTAGCGTGTTAACATTATCCTCATCAAGAATTTTGATGACAGGAATCATGGAATATGACTTGACCATGTGTGTCCACTACCCAGTACCCAGTCAGCAAATCCTTGTTCTCTGCTATGTTTATTATAATACGTTGTTTATTGTTGGGCTGTACTTTATTTAAGAGCTGTTTATACATATTTTAGAGGTAACTGCTTTTACTATTTGAACCTAACAAAATTGTCTTGATTAGATCTCAGGACATGTGTATTTTAATATTCTTGCTTGGTGTTCCCGTGAATGTAATATTATGGTTGATCATCGAGCATGCATATTGCATATCCAACCGGATATTATCCAACTATCAGTTAAGACTTCTGGGCGAGAAATTCAAAACAGTGCGCGCCGGTAAAATGCGCGCTATTTCAGCTGAAAAGTTGAACTTTTAATGAGTTAACTCAACCGTAACCATGGCAACCATGGAAACAACTAGCAATCCAACGCTAGCGGAATCTGTCATTTGTGGCTCACTTCTAATTTTGGAACTCCAACTAAGCAGACAAAGCACTTAAAATGAACGTTCATATGATACAAATAATTTGCTATTTACAAAATCGTGTGATATAAATAAAATCTTACGTCCATCGAGGCTCAGGCCTAAAACCTACACAAAATCCCAGATTTATCATTTTGGCCGCTTTCTGATTGACTTCAAGTTCTTCCTTTCTTTTGGCTTACTGCCTTTATTCAACGCTCATGGAATATTTTCTTTGAAAATTGTCTCTATGCTTTTTGAGCCTGTTTTAAATTAAAACCACCCCCAGTAAAACGATTGACACTCTCTTGTCTTTGAGAAGAAATGAGAGGCGGGATCATTCCACCAGCCATGTGTCTCTCACGCTCCCTAAAATATTAAATCACATGTCAATATTCAGTGTTTACGATTTCAATAAACTAAATCACATCATAAACGTACAAACTTCTAGTTGAACAGAATAATGTATGTATTTTAAGAGTAATCATAATTATAAGGATCTTACTTGAGGTTTCTCTCCTTTCGTTTCTGCATGTAGTATTTGTTCTTTGCATCGTGCAATTCACGGACCAGTGTTTCGATTTCATATCTGTACTCAGCGTTTTGTGCTTCACACATGTTCAATTCGGAACTCATTGCCTGAATGGCGATCACATTAAAGCGATGACTCATGTTTAAAACACAGAACAAATTGCCTAACAGAGAACAAATTGCAGAATAAATTGAATGTAAATTTCAAACATCGAGTGCCCAGTGCCCACCGATTCTTTACTAACGGATTATCGAAGATAATATATCAGGGCTACTCTCCAAATTAATAGAATGCAGTACTCATAACTAGTAGCCAGGATTTTATTGGGGGATTTGTTAGCTATTTCGGTCATTTTTTGGTCAGTTTTTGGTCATTTTTGGCCAAAAACGACTTTTTCAGCCCCGGCTTTAATAACGTCATTACGTAAGATATACATAAGCATTAAGCGTCTGTTGGCGCTTAAATTTGAATAAAAGAAAATTCACCTTCATCTGCTTGGTCTTCTCTTTGAGACTCTGCTGATAAATCTGGAGTTGTTCTGCCACTTCAGGACCAGGCTGTCTGGCTAATATTTGCTTCAAATCAATGTACAATTTCTCCTTTTCTTGGATTGCCATCTCCTTCGATACAACCTGTACATGACGAACCATCAGAAAACATGCTTGCGAATGTGCTACTACTTCTAAAGCTTTTTTTAAACATTGAATTAAGCAACATTGCCTTCAATACTTAACAGTATATGGTATAGGAGCAATAAACAGGGCAACAATCTAACGAGCCAAACCTCCTCAGTCTTGCTAATGAGTCGCCTCTGAAGGGTTTGTATTTTCTGGATCATCTCGTAAGTGGAAGGATCACTGCCCTCCAATTTCCTCCATCGGTGAATGTTCATTGGATTCTCCAGCTCCTCCTCGAGAGCCTTGCAGCGGGTTCGCTCCCGTAACAACTCCCTCTGTACGTGGAACAACTCACGTCTGAGGGGTATATTAGTTAGCAGGTATTTGGCTTACGATTTATTTCAGCAAGTAAAGCAAATCAAAATCATATATTATAATAATATTTACAATAATTGTAATTGTGAAAGGCCTAAAAAGTAAAATGGCCGATGACTAAGCTATGCAATGGGATAAGAGATAAACCAAGGTTACCTTAGCTCGTCAACATTAGCAACACTCTTGAGCAGGATGTTCTTCTCCCGTCTTAGTTTCTTGACCTCGAGTTTGAGGAGTCTTATATCCTCGAGCCTCTGTCTATACTGGATCTCACCCTTGTTCAGAGTACTCTGTTGAATCTTTATCTTCTCGTACAGCAGGGCTAACTCGTCATTTCGCCTGATCAGCTGTGTGCCCAGGATATCCCTCTCGTTGATTACTTGGTCAAGTTCCTTCTTCTGGCGCAAGCGCTCAGCATCAGCTGACATGATTATTTTGTGTTGTTTTCCGTTTTCTGCTTCAAGTTCCCCGCATCGTTGGCGCATGTGCTCAACTTCTTGTCTCATTCGAGCAAGTTCAGCCTGAAATTCAAAGTTTTGATCAAGATCTATGAATTCTTCCTTGCATCATGAAATAATTCGTAAAAAATAAGGCAATCGAGTTGATAAAATTCATGATTTACTATTTACAAACAATACAGTACCTTGAGTTGCTCCTTATGTTTTTCCACGTCCTGGTGATCTAATCGTTCCTTTAATAGAGCAGTATCCTTTGCAGATATCTCCTCCTTCAACTGATCTATCTGGTGATTCATAATCTTCAGTTTCCTCTTCATTTCTAATATCTCGTCTTGAGATTCGATCAAGTTCTTGCTGTACAAGTTCCTGTCACTCCTTACGGCCTCGTAGAGGTTCTGTTGTTGTTTCAATTTGGTTTCTGCTTCGGCGATTTTCTTCTTGTAATCAAAGATCTGCATTTCCCTGATTTTGACCTCTTCCATTGCACCTGATAATTTAATCTTCGTCAGCTTAAAATAATTTCAACATCCTTTAACAATAGTTCTCTGAGAATTATCAACTTTCAAACTATCAATGATCTATGCTCTATATCAAGGGAGAATCAGATATTGATAAATTAGAGCTAGTAAAGCGTAGACTCTAAAATTCCCCCAACTAACCCAAGCACTTCTGCGTCATCTCTGATGCTTCGTTGATGTATCTGTCTCTCTCCTTCTCCAGCTGGTAGATCAGTTTCCTCTGTTTCTGAGCCTCCTCCTTGTAATTCTGTATCTCATGTTCCAGGTTCTTCTTGCTCTGCTCGTGCAGTTTGACGATATCCTGCTGTTTGGTTGTGTCGGCTGCTGTTTTCAGCATCTTCTTGTTGAGGAGCTCCTTCTCTCGGGTCAACTCGTCTATCTTCTTTCTGTCAATCTCTGCGTTCTTCTTCATCGCCTCTAACTCTGCAAATAAAACCGATCAGGATCAACCATTTTTCTTCATTTTGTTTAAAATTGGCACTGTTGCAAAACGGATGAATAGAACCTAAGAATCATAAATTAAGCCACTTGAGTCGGCATCGCGTTTTAAAACTAAAAGAAGATTAACTAGACCAATACCTCTCTCGAGACCGATGATATTAGACTTAAGAGTTTCCTTATCCTGTTCGATCTCTGACTTGTGATCCTCCACCCCTCTTAGCTTCCTCTGGATAGTTTCCCTCAGTTTGGCAAGTTTCATGTTCTCTTGTCGCAGTGTGTTGATCTCTTCTTCCTTCAACTTCAGCTCAGAGTTTTTCTCGTGATTCTCGTTTGTCAAGATGTTTACTTGAATCATCTGCTGCTCATTTTCTTGCTGAGTTTTTAGGATTCTCCCATTCAGCAAATCGTTGTCCTTCATTGCACGCTCGTTTGCAATCTGTAGCATGTAAAATTTAAGGACAGAAAGCCAAAATATTACAAATGTAACCAATAAGGAAACATCAATCATATACATACTACTCAATGGTGATAACTGTGAAATTTCATGTAGGTGCATGCCAAGGGATGACATTTATTAATGCTAAGATCAAATTACATCTATAATTGTAGTCAATTAATTTAACAATCTTAATTTTATCTCAAGGAAAAAGTTTACAACCGTGACAGCTTATCAGCTGAGGATAATTTTCTGAGAGAAATGTTTCGGCTGTATTTGCCAGAGTAGTTCCCTCCGGTCTGGGTCCGGTAAAAATTACCTATACTTTTTTCGAAGTGAGAATGTAAGGAAATCAAAATTTTAATTATTTTAGTTTATATTTTAGTTTATTAATAACCTTTTGCTCCTTCAGATTGGCTTCCAATCTAGAACATTCTTCTTGTAACTTTTGTAATGTCGACTGTTTATTTTTAATCTCGATGTTTTTACTCTCGAGATCCAGCCGTGCAGTCTTCAGTTCGCGATCAAGTTTATCACGCTTGCGTCCCTCACGCTGCGCCTCGTGCGTTCTGACGTTGATGTCCTCTTTGAGTTCTTGAATCTTGACATCAGCCTCTCTCTTCTCAGATTCCGCTTTAGCCTGAAAAATAGCAAATCTGAGATATAATTCCAATGGTATCCTCAAAACTAAATGAAATTTAATCGTATGATTCAATGTAATCAGTATTACGAACTATTCCTGTTGTTTTAGCTAACCTGAGGTTGAATTATTACTGGATAAAAATTGTTATTTTTCCGTTAATAATGAAGCTGACCTGTTTAGTTGCTGCCTCGACCAGACTCTGTCTTAACTCTACGATCTCTGTCAACTTCTCATCTCGATCTTTAGTCAACTCCTCTTTTATCTTCAAAAGCTCGTTTACACTGCAAATCAAAATAATACGTCATTGCTGAGATCTTATTATAAACCATGTGGCTAAAACCTGCCACTGTTGCACATCTATCCGAAAATATGTATACTAGTAAAAATTAAAAAACACGTAACGTTTTTCGATTTAATTGTTTAGTTTGAGTTTGATTCTTATACTATAAGTATATTGTAATTTTGTGAAGATGACCCTCACCTGTGTTCCTGTCCCATGGTTAAACCTGCTCCCTGCTCAACAAGTTTACTAAGATTAGCGATCTCTAGTTTTAGAGATTGGATTGTTTCCCGAGCACGAGCTTCTTTCTCGGCAGCAGCATCAACCATCTTCCATGCCTTCTCTATCTCCTGTTAGTGCAAGAAGTTTGTGAATTGTTCATCGAAATATAGGATACAGAATCAAAAGAACAGAATTATTTACACACTTATATCCATTGCTCACGTATATTGAATACAGTGTGCTTCAAATTCTACGGAAATTCAAGTTCTTTAAGTCTAAACAAACCTTTTTGAGGGAGGCGATGGTACCCTGATCTTCCTGCGACAGTTTCAGAGCAGTTGAAACTTTAGCAGCATTTGCTACAATCTCAGCATTGAGTTCACGACACTTCTGTGTCAGTCTCTTTTCACCCTCGTAGCTCTTCTTGAGGGCTTTGTGAAGCTTCTCATACTCTGCTCTGAACCTCTCCAGAGACTTGTCTCCCATCAGCTCAGTGAGCACCTGGCGATAGCATGATGTGCAACAAAATGAATACTTCTAATGTATAATATGATGATGAAATGAAAGTGTACATAATCTTTCGAATGAAAATCGGAACGGTTAAATGCTAGGACAAACCTCCTGAAAATCACGCTCCAAAGCATCGAAGGCATTTTCCTCAATGGCTGGTTTATCAACCGACTTCTGTTGTGTCTGAAAAAATAGGATACTTTAGTATAATTTTACATTTTTTATTCTAATAAAGATATATACAGATTGGAATCTTTGCTTTGAAATAGCAAAACTATAAAAAATACAGACAAAAATAAAGTGAACACATTGGTAGAACTTACTACGCCTGCGTGATCACTCATTTTGTTAGATGTCGCTCGTTTGTTTCCTGTCTCATGAACGATGCTATTGAATGAGTTGTTTAGTAATAGTATAATAGAATTCTTGAAGACCAGACAGCTTTAAACACTGAAAACTTTCACTAGACAAAAAATTGCTTATTTGGGACTAAAGGAAACTTCATGCGAGCATTCTCAAAACGAAAATGGTCAGAATTTTGTTTTATTTTGCTTGATATATCTTTTGGGATCATATTGAAACTAACACCATTAATATAGTCTGAAAAGGTTTTCTAAGGTCGTTCTCGATACCAATGCAATGGCCATAGCATGGTTGCCAGAAACGGAGTTTGGTCCTGTATACAGTAGACATGTTTTACAAAACGAAGTCGTCGTGTCTTTATGGTATCTTTCACCATGCCGGTGGAATATTTCCGTAAAGAACGGAGTTAGGTGTGTTTGATTTCCACGAGATGCCAAAGACCCTTTGTAGCATTCTTGTATAGACCCTGTCTAGTGCTCTAGTGTCAGCTTTCTTATAGGGTCAGTTTCAGACGAATCAAGCATAAATGACATCGCCATGTCTGAAGTGGTTTGTAAATGGGCCATTGTTAGCCCCAAGCGATTTGTTCCCTCATTCCTACCACTCAGCATTGCCTACTGTAAAGTATACATTTTTCTAAGACAATAGAGAAACTGGCCTTATCTCACTAAAATTCAACCACTTGCCATTAAATAATAAAAATACAACCAAACAAAGTTTTTTAAATAATTATATACATCACCAAAGAATATTTCCTCAGGTTTACTTCTAGTTAACTAATTCGTGGTTTAAGCTCTTATTTTATTTATGATTAAAGGAATGTAAAATAAAACTTATTTCAGTTTGAAAACTTATTGTTTCATTCTTCAGGATCCACGTTTTGCGCCATACAGAAGAACGGGTTCTACTGTGGTTCTAAAAATCTTGGTCTTGATCTTCGTAGACAAGTCAGATTTCTCGAAAGTAGAAAGTCTAGACTCTGCAGTCAGCCTTTCCTTGCATTGATGTCTCTGCTAGTTGAAGCTAAGAATTTAAAGTCATGTACTTCTTCTAGAGCTTTTTCATTGACAAATACTCTCTCATCACAATTGCGCCCTGGCTCTGTTTGTGGGCAAGCATTTTTTGCTGTTTAGCAGTGTTGAAAAAAAGAATAATTTTTTTTAAATGTTGGAGCATGATTTTGTACCGATCTTATGAATGTTTAACAGGTGATACTCGTAAAATATTTGTTTCAAATTTGTTTCAGGACCGTAAAATGCGGTGGCTGGTTGCCTCAACGATAGCTATAGGAGGTATTCTACTTAAGCTTGAGTATGAAATGTTGTATAAAACCGGGGATCATGCAATCAGTACTGGACGTGACGTTGGGGTGGTGGGTCACTTTTTCTTTCAAAACACAGTTAGTACTTTTGTACTAAATGTTGGGTCTGCTGCTCATTTCCTCGAAAAACAGTTAGTACATGGTACTAAGGAGGGTGTCCAATCCCAAAAACCCATTTTACTTCAAATTTCAATTTAGGGAATGGGTTGAATTTTTTGAATTTTTTCCCTTTTATTGTCTGAACGAAATCTCTTCTATCGACAAAAACAAGCAGAAATATGCCAGGAGCTTGAGTCAACACCACTGGCAAAGTTGATGTTCCAACTAGCTGCCGAGAAAGGGGCAAGTGCTTGGTTAACAGCACTACCTTTAAAAGAGTTTGGATATCTGATGAATAAACAACAGTTCTCAGACGCAATAGCTCTCAGTTACAACCTGAACTTAAAGGACTGCCCTAAGACATGTACATATGGCCAGAAATACTCAGCAAACCATGCGCTCATCTGCAAACTCGGTGGATATGTGTCACTGCGACACAACTCGCTGAGAGACACCTTTGCAGAACTAATGAGAACTGTGAAATGCAAGGATGTGCAGACTGAGCCAGTCCTTCTTCCAGTTGATGGTCTAGAGTTACCAAAGGGATCAGTCCTAGGAGACCAAGCTAGGCTGGACATTTCTGCAAGATCGATTTGGAATGCTTCAGAGAGGGCATTTTTTGATGTAAGGGTATTTCATGCCCCAGCCCCCTCCAATGCAAGCAAATCGATCCCAGCGATCTACCAGTCCCATGAAAATGAGAAAAAGCGATGTTACAACGCAAGGGTTCTTGAAGTGGAGAAAGGAAGCTTCACACCTTTAGTTTTTTCGACTTCTGGTGGAATGGGTGGTGAAGCTGAAAGACTGGTTAAGAAGCTGGCCAGTAAGATGGAGTACCACACTGGCTAGAGGTACTCGGATGCTGTAGGATACATTAGAAAGCGCCTTCGCTTTGAAATCCTAAGAACAACAGTGATTTCTCTCCGTGGAGACAGAGGTGTGAGAAAAAACATTGTTGATATAAACAGTCTAGATCTCAACTTGGAGCCACAAGGCCAAGGGTAATTTTTGATTGTTTAGAAAACTTTTTTTTTATTCTTAAAAGGGTAGATTTTATATAGGGGCACTGCTATATTATGTGTATATTGTTTGAATAATAAGTTTTCATTTGTTGCATTAATTACAACGATATTTTTAAAGATTCAATAAAATCTGTTTAAAAATTTTTAGTAATAATTGACGTAAACATGTAATGTGCTTAAATCACATCTAGCGAGTTACTAATAAAAAAAAATGCTTGTGGGTATCTTATTTTATGTACCAAGACACAGTTAGTACCGCAAAAGCGGGCAAAAGGGGTACGTGTCTTAATTATTATTGGATAAATGATAAACGGTTAGCTAGTAGTAGTACCGCGAAGCACAAAGGGTTCACATAACCATGTGTATACGCGTACTGTGTGACGTGCTTGTTTCACAAGCGAGAGGGCTCTGGTTAGAGCAACACAAAGGGGTGGGTGGGTTTTTTGAAATTACACTTATAGTCGACGTCACATCCAAAACTTAGTACCTGATCCATACACCACAACCTATTGTAGGATACAAGGATACAAGGATACAAGGATACAAAAGTGATAATTACTTTATTGAGTACACAATAGTTGTAATTCTGAAATAATTTAAGTAATGTTTTGGGGATGGAAATTGAATTTTTCCCTAACTGATGAGTAGAGCAAACAGTCAATCAATACGTGACTTTCGTCCTCAATAGGCTTGAGCCCTTTGCTGAAAAAGCAGTAGGTGCACCAACGTTCTTCTCTTGGTACAAGGGGGCTTCGCATATGCCCCTTTCGATGTAGAGGTTGTGGCAGCTGATACGAAACCTTGTCAGACTTTTTCGAACATCAGGTATTTTGATAATTCGTAGATATGCCTTTGGTTCGAAATCATGTTTAATTAAGTTATAGAATTCTTCTTTTGGTGATATTCAATATTGTATGATATGCGCCTATCTGATTAGAGCAATATGATGGATTCACTTGCCATACGTTGTATGACCTGCCGCGCACGAGTGCGCGGCTCCCCTGTATCGTAGAAACTCTACCGTGAAGCGACAGTGGGGGTCACCACGTGATACAAAGATTCACCTATAACCATATGCTTTCGCGCCACTTCAGGCGCGCGCTACTGCAAGCGCAAGGGCTCTGGATAGAGCAATATGTTGGACGTCTGTGGAAATTAATGGGTTAGTGCATTATAATGCAATGGATAATTTCAAATTTGAAGGTACATATGACATTTTTCCAATGAGCATGAAAATTTTCCAGGTTCATGGAATGCACAAAAATTAATAAAAATTAACATTCTCCTAAAAGTGCTCAGAACGGTTTAAAACTGGCCGGAAAGCGTTTAGATTGTTCCTTGTCATACGTTGTATTAGGTAGTGCGCCATCGACAGTGAGCCGCGCGTGCCGACTGTAGGATGGTTTTTTAGCGCTAATTTCGGCCAGCACAATTTTATTCAAACAAATAAATATTAAGTATCCTTCCCGACCTCCGATTGCAACAAAAATTGGTAAGCTTACTCATAGACTTACAAGGAAAGTGTCCGAAAAGTTTAAAGCATATCCAACCATCAGACATTATGTTACAGCTAAAAGCAGCGTATTTTGCCCCATTTTTATCACTATATCAGGAAAGAAAAATTTTTAGGAAAGAAAAATTTTTATTTACCACAAATAATCAATACATAATGTTATATTCATAAATAAATTCATATTTCAATTTCAAACACATATACAGTACGCCGCGCACACAGCCACAATTTAAAATTGTTCAGAAATTCGTAGGTCAGCTGTAGGCGCCGCGCACAGGATCTATTTAATTGTTAACTTACAATTACATGTCACATTTCTTAATTACTAGAGCCAAAATTTCAGAAGCAAAATAATTTAAAAGATATTTCTGTCGTTTACTCAGTACAGGCCGTGAGCACTGCGATCTAATTAATATAATAATGGAGAGATTCCAAAAAACCGCGCGCTCGTTATTTATTGTGATTAAATTGAGTGCGCGCCACTGTGAACAGCAGTACCGCTCAAGCATGAATTAGTACTGAGCGGTACGCAGTTCTGCGTGAGGCGTAGACATTTGTAGCACACGTTTCATTCAACTAATCCATTAATCCATGTGACATGTACAATGTAATTATATTAAAGCAAAAAGAATATTAATTTTAGTAATAATTGACGTAAACATATGTGTTTAAATAACATCTATAATCTAGCGAGTTACTAATACCGTTCGCGTTTGTTTGTATTCTTGATTATATATCTTTACACTAGCCTATATTATGATGGAGATATACATTATATAATTGCTCCAATATTCAACACTGCTAAATGTTATGTCCTGCCTAATTTAGCCACCATAGGTATTAAGTCTAGTCCTAAAAACACAGTATCTTAAAATACTCGGCAATTCCCAGACATTCCATCTTCTATTTCTTGGTTAATTATAGAATCTTGGTTGATTCTATAATTCTCTTGGTTGATTCTATTGTCGTATATTGTCGGATTAAATTATATGTATTTGAATTTGATTCTTACCTAAAGACGTCACCTGACCGTCCTGCAACCCATACTTCCAAACAGATAACCTTTTTACC